CTCCCGCATCTCCGGCCATCATCCCCGTCATGACGCGGATGCTCTGAGAGAGTTCGCAAGGCTCGTAGGAAGTTCTGCCCGACTATGAGATGAAGCAGGGAGAGAGGAGAGCTGGGGAAAGGAGGAGGAGGTGAGGGAAAGTCTATGTAGGAGGAGGAGGAGGAGGAGGAGGAGGAGGAGGAGGAGGAGGAGGTAGTAGTAGAAGTAGTGGCGGCAGAACTGATGGAGGAAGTGAAGGAGAAGATGAAGGAGGAGGTGGGGGAGGTGAGGTTGGAGGCTACTGGAGGAGGAGGCACCTGTTCTTGCGGAGGTATCGTTGCTCGATCTTGCGAGGATAAGAATCCACGGAGAAGGGCTTGTTGAAATCTCCTGCTCGGGTCCCGTCCTCCAGGCGGCAGAGAAGCGAGCACCCTCGGATCGTGTGAACCCCTCCCTCCGTCTCCAACTTCTCCAGCACAGTGTAGGGGTATTCCGCCTCCCCTGCCAGCGCGTCGAAGCGATCGAGCATGGAGCTGGTGGGAACTTGCGAGAGGATAAGATCCTGCAAAGGGCAGGAGAGGAGGGAGGGAGGGGGAAGAGAGAGGAGGGGAGGGAGGGAGGGAAGAAATGGGAGCGCATATGCAAGGAATACCTGTAGGAGCTGATATCCAATCTGTAAACGCGGTCGCACTCTGCGCGGAAATTACACATGGTTGCTGGACAACAAAGAGGAGGAGGAGGAGGAAGGGAAGGCGAAGGAGATGAAGCATGAGGGGGCAGGAACGAAACGGCGAGAGGAGGAGGGGCATGCAAGATAGGAGGAGCAGGAGCCTGTACCTTGAACTTCTGGTTGTAGATGTAGGCAGACTTGCTGTTGAGCTGCTCCTGGTCGGCTCCATGAGCAAAGATCGGGAGCTGAAAGTTGGCGGACTCGAGGAAGCGACCTTGATGAAACAGGGGAAGCACTCCGAACCCCAACTGCTTCACCGTCACCTGCTCCGTTTTCTTCTTCTTTTGCCCCAGCGTCCCCTTGAGCTTGTACGAGTTGATCAGGACCCGCACGTCCACCAGCATGCAGAGGTCGCAGGTGCTCAGCTCGCGCGCGTCGAGCTCGAGGTGGAAAGAGAGGAGCCCGTCCAAGAAGCGAGGCCTGCGGGCATCGGAGTCGTAGTCGAGGAGCGACACGAAGCGGAGATCCTTGTGGATGTGGCCCTGGCTGTGGTAGAAGCTCCCGTGCGGGAAGTGGGAGAGGAGGAGGAGGAGGCCGTCGTAGTCAAAGTCGGATGGCAAGTTGTCGATCCCGTCCACACTGAAGGAGAAGCCGACCTGAGGTGAGTACTCGATGCAGGTGTTGGGGTCCACCAGCTCCAGTCCCTTTCCCTTGTACCTGCTCATGACCTGGCGGACTTTCAGCTGGAAGCTCTTGAAATCCTCGCTGGACACGCCCGGGTCGAAGCTTCTCAGGTCCTCCAGGGCCTGCAGCTCTGCTGGGGTCAAGGCAACGCCCAGCTGCTGCAGGAAGCTGAGCACGGACATGCGGTGCTCCTGCCCTCGGAGCGAGCGCTGAGGGAAGAGGAGGAGCTCCTGCTCGCTGGGTTCGCAGAGACTTTCGTTGCTGTAGACCCCCTGGCTGTAGGGCTGAGGCTTTACAAGGGCCCCCCTTGCCTCCATCCTCCCCTCCGTCTCCGCCTTCTCTTCCTCCTGCTGCTGTCGCTGCCCTTTCCTCGCGCTCTTGACGATCCGCACCAGGAGGGAGGAGCAGAACCTCCGAGGCGACCGCGCCATGGAGGACAAGGAGAGCGGCTGCCCCTGCGGGACGCCGGAGCGGAAGATGGGGAGCTGGAAGGAGCCTTCGTTGAGGACAAACTCTGACACTTGCGCGCTCTTGGGCTGCTCCTTGGTCGTCGGGTCAACGAAGACGTTGAGGACGGAGAAACCGACGATGCTGGTCCTGAACGTCTCCTTCCTCCGCTCCAGCGCATTGATCTGCACCAGGACGGTAGAGGTTGGGTTCCACTCGCTCCCTTCCTTGATCCAGATCTCTTTCCTGGCGTTGAAGATCGGGGAGGAGAGGGAGGGGCTACGAGGATCGATCTCCTTCTTCATCTTGCTGTAGAAATCCTTCATGGCGCTATCCGTCACAAACGCCTCGACGGCTGTCAGGGTTACGTTGTCCGGTAGGAAGCGAGCGGCGTCGATGTAGAGCTGGAAGCCGTCGACTGAGGAGAAGAGAGCGACGGGAGGAGGAGGGAGGGGACGTGGAATGAAGGGACGAGCGTCCTGGAAGTTCCAGATAGTCTCCCTGGACATGCGGACGCCCCGGAGCTTCCGGAAGAGCCGCTGGAGGCGAACGATGCTGACGATGCTCGAGTTCATCTGCTGGAGAGAGAGGGGGAAGGAGGAGGCAGGGCCGATCTGAAGCGACAGCCGAGGGAGAGGAGGCTCAAGGCGAGCGGAGGAGTTGTCCTGATGGCTGAGGAGCCCCGACAGACCGTAGAGGTTGGCCTGCTGCTCTTGCATCGCCAGCACCTGCGAGATGGCTCAGTCTCCCTCCTCCTCCTCCTCCCTCACACTGAAGACCTTGGGGAAGTCGCGCTTGAGGTCCACAGGAGGAGCAGCGAGGAGAAGGTCGTGCTCGTTGTTGTTCAGCTCTGCGGCAGCAGAGTGTGTAAGGAGGAAGAAGAGAGGACAAGGAGGAACGGACCAATCTCTCCATCTTCCTCCGCCTGCCCTCCAGCTTTCTTGAACAGCCTCAGGGAGGCCCAGCCAACAAGAATGTCCTCGTCCTTCACCACCGGGTTCGCCCGCTGCGCTCCTGCTCGCGCCTGGAAGACTTCCAGCAGGAGGGAGGAGCGAACGTCATGGGGGAAACAGCTGAGACTGCATCCCTCCATGACCCGCAGAGCTTCGTCCCCCAGGTCAGCCAGCAAGGACGAGCACCAGAAGTTGCTCCTCTTCTGCTGGGGATTCGCCGGCTGCCCTCCGTCCTCCTTGCGGAAGTCCAGGTCGGGGTGGTCGGAGAGGTCGAAGGGAAGCTGTATCCCCTTGCCCTCCTCGAAGATGGAGACGCGCAGGATGATACTACCTGCCTGCTTGCAGTGCGCATGCCCGCTCAGCCTCCCGCTGATCGACCGCAGCCCCAGGTAGACCTGGAACTTGCATATGGCTCCCTCCTGGTACAGGGTCGGGTCGTCGGGGTTCGCAATGTCCTGGAAGGGAGACTGTCGCTGCGGAGTGCGGGGGGGAGGCTGCCGCTGCGACCTTGAGGAGGGAACTCGCTCAAAAGCCTTCTTGGACGGCGCTGCGTTCTCCGCTAGCCTCTCCTCCTCTTGCTCCTCCCCCTCTGCCATGTAATGCTTGTACTGCATCCTGGTGCTGTCCGGGTTGACGACGAAGGCAGCATGGAAGTCGATGGAGCGGGCGTCCACCAGCCGGAGGAAGAGCGTCAGGTGCGGGATCGGCTGTAGCCTCTTGCGGAGGATACGGGAATCAAGCTCGGGCCGGACTGGCGGATGGTACATGTCCAACCTGCAAGAGGATGAGGGGAATGAAGAATTTTACCTCGCCCCCCGGCCATCCACTCCTCCCCTCCTCCCCTCTTTTCCTCTCCTCCCCTCTTTTCCTCTCCTCTCCTCCCCTCTCCTCTCTTTCATCCCTCCCCTATCTCATAACCCTGCTTTGGTTGCTACTTTGGACCTTCTCTCCATCTCCTCCTCTCAGATCTCCTCCATCCCCCCCTGCCTCCTCTTCCTCCTCTCACTTCCACAGCCCGTTGTTCAGATTTTGATCTCCTCTGAAGAGCGCGAGTGACGTCCATCCGATCGGGAAGGTCCGCGGGCCACTTCCCGAGTTCGAAGTCTTGACCTCCTGCACCAGCTAAAGTTCAGCTGAGAAACCCCTGACAGGTCAAACAGGGGTAAAGTTCAGCTGAGAAACCCCTGACAGGTCAAACAGGGGCTTCACCTGGACCTCTAGGACTGCCTGTAGGTCGATCGATGGGTAGACCTTGTTGAACTGACGCTTCACCGCAAACACAGCCTGTTCTCTGTCACATGCTGCTGTCGCCCCCATCTCCTCCATCCCCTCCATCCCCTCCCTTCACTTCCTCCAGCGGGCCCTCTGGCCCCTGCCCCTCCCCCACGACCTGGCTGTGCATCGAGTTCGACAAGTTCTCCGTAGGGGCCATAGGAAGTGACTAGAAGAAACAAAAATGTCAAACACAGAGCGCCGTGCCCAGCTCGCCCCGACCTTGGGCTGAGTCTTGGAGTCTCTGCCTTGGTAAAAGGCGTATACAACCTGCACTTGACTGATCCGGGGCTGGAGGCCCAGCAGGTAGTCCACGAAGATAACGAAGCCGGCCTCAGAGCTTGCTAGGGTGTCAGGGGACGGGCAAAGGACTCTGAGGAGAGGAGGAGGCACAGCTGGGAAGTTTGTGGGGAAGAGGGGGATGTGGGAGGGCAGGAGAGCAGCGGTGCGGTTCGGACCTGTAGGAGTCGACTTCTAGATCAGCATTCTTCATCAGCGACTTCACAGGCTTCTCCCGAGCCTGCACGCGAGTCAAGGCACGCAAGACCGAGGGGAGGGGACCATGTGCTTGCGGTACTTGGCTTCCAGCAGCTGCTTCTCTTGCTCGAAGGACCACTCCCTCTTCTTCTGCTCCTTCTTCAAGTTGCTGACCTCCAGCTGCAGCTTCTCTCTCTCCGCTTCCTGAAGAACGTCTCACCTTCGGCAGGGCCGGCGCGGAGCCGGGCCGCGGGCTCGGCATCGCACCTGCTGCATTCTTTGGATCTCGTACTGGAGGCTGATCATCTCCTTGAGATGCGCCTTGCGGAGTCTGGACGAGGGTCAATCTGAGGATGAAAAGACGTGTGTGTACCGATAGATCTCTGAATCCTGGGGCAGGCGCTCCAACTCAGCAAGCTCCTCCTCCTGTTCAGACAACCCGGCCCTCCCCTTGGGAGCCTCCTGACCCTTGGCTTCCTTGGCCGAGAACGTGCGCCATTCCTTCTCCGTCTCCTGCAGCTGCTTCTTGAGTCTCATGCTCTCATCGACAGCTTGTTTGATCCGCTGATCCGCTTCGCGCAACATCTTCTCAAAATCCGTCAGGGGGGGCAGCAGAACATCGAGAGCAATTTCTGAGGATCCAACAAGGTGCGGGAAAGGAAGGGAGGCAAACTTCATCATAACCTCCAACTCTCTCATTTCCTGTCCACTGCCAGTACCGCGCTGAGGCCCTTGCAGCCAGTCCTGAACCCGAGCATGTCAGTTCCTCCACTGGTCTTCTTCACAATTTCTTCACCCGATTCAAGTTCCCGTCTACAGCACTCCTTCCGGCAAGAACTGACGGAGCCTTGTCCCCACTCTCAATGGTGACAAACAGGAGAAACAAGGAGCCTCACATGCTTCTTCCTCGAGTACATGTCTGTAGCCAGAAGCAACGCTTCCCTCTCCAGCGACTCTATCGCCTCCAGGATCGCTGGATCGTTTCCACCGCTGCTCAGGTACTCCTGTCGAAGCTTGTCGGGCAGGTCAGCTCTGTTCATCTCTTCCTCCAATGATTCACCTCACTCGCTTGCTGCGCCACTGGAATGTCTCTGTTCTTGTCTTGCAACTCACCGGCTCTGTGATCAGGCACCGGGACCGCCTTTGGCTGAATGTTGGTGTGCTGTTTCACCTGCTCCGTCCTTGTTGCTGCTCTGGGGACCTCTGAAGCCTGGCGATCAACAACGAACGGCCTCACTTGTTTCTCAACCTCTTGTCGTGTCTCCTGGTGTCTTTGTTCAGATAGCTCCGACATCTGTGTTTCGAGCGCTCGTTGGTAGGCCTCCTCGATCGGTTGCTTCCAAGTGTTGTTCTGAATGCTCTGCTGCTCCTGAATCGTCTTGTTGAGTTCTTCCCTCATTTTCTTCAGTCTTCGAGCGTTGTCCTCGAAGTTCTCTTCGATGCTCTGGATCGCTTTCATGCTGTCTTTGTACGCCCTGCTGCCTTTCAACACTCTTTGCTGTTGTGGCTCATCTTCCACCTTTGTCGGGATGTCGAGAATGTCTAGCAAGACCTTTCCTCCCCCCTCCCCGCTCTCCAATACGCTCTTCTTCTTTCCCAGCTGTTCCTTCCTCGCCGTCAACCTCGAAAGTTTTGCAGCTCTCTCTGCTGCTAGCTGCGCCATGGAGGAGGAGAAATCTTTCCCCCCTGGGTTGGACAAGGAGGGGTGCAGTTGATCAGCAGAGGACGCTAAGCGCATGTCCACTCTGAGAGAGGTCTCTTCTCCCTCGATCTTCTTGAGCTCCTCTTGCAACTCCAGCAACCGCACAGCAGAACTACTATCCGCCATGCCGCCTAGGCCGGCAGTAGACTGTAGTTGCGAGCGGTAGAGGGTAACAGAGAGGGAGAGCGAGTAGCGGCTAGTCAAATGTGTAACGGATATTTGATTGAGAGAGCGCGTCATTTGACTAGGCTCCTCAACCGACTGCCGTTTTCAGGTTTTCAATATCAAAATCAGCAGCACCATTGGCAAGAGAATCGCCGAGGTCACCGTCAGTACTACCCTCGGAGTTACTGGCAGGAGTCTCGGAGAGCGGCCCGCCGGGCCGCTCTCCCTCGGAGTTACTGGCAGGAGTCTCGGAGAGCGGCCCGCCGGGCCCGAGCCGCTCCAAAGAAACCGTGTCAAAGATACAGAGAATACGCCGATGGCACCCGGCCGGGGCAGAGGACTCAGTCTGAGAATGGTCCCGTTGTACTAACTAAGGCTCAGCCCCGGGCCTCCCGGCGATCATCGACCTTCTACCGGAGAAGACTCTCAGTAATGAAGTGCAAAAAGAAATCTCATTCACAGTACTCAGAGTACTTCTCCGAGTCCAAACAAAGAGCAAAACAAAATTTTCACCCTCTCCTGCGAGGGTCTCTAGCTCACCCCCCGCGGGGCTCGAACCCGCGACCACACGGTTAAAAGCCGTGCGCTCTGCCGACTGAGCTAGAGGGGCACGATTATTTGTCCAGTCCTATACATATATATACCATATTAGTCCTCCTCCTGCCTTGTTGCTGCTCTCCTTCCCTTGATTCTCCTCCTCCCCCTCTCTAGTCTTCGCCCCTGCCACTCGCTCCTCCTCCGAGCCGCTACTTCCTGTCCTCCGCCCCTGTCCCTTTCCTTGTCCCCCTCCTCATTGGCATCTCTCTATCTCCTCTTGTCCCTGTCGTGACTTATCAGAGGCAACCTCCGCGTAGCTGCACTTTCCACTGCTTGCCATGTCTACTCAAACAATCAAGGACATCCTTGTTCGACCGGTATATCACTCTGTTCTCTCTCTTGTCAACAACAAGCAGTCTCTTGACATGCGGTGAAGGAGAATCGACCAGCTTTTGTTCTCCTGATGAAGTCGACAGTCGGTGAACCACAACTGCAATTCGACGTGTTCCCCCTTATGACATGAATGCAGCAATGATCGTGTTTCCCGTTGCAGTCTACTACTTCTGCTTCCTCTTCCTGTTCAACAAAGGAGGAATTATCGACCTCAGCGATGATTTGAACAATCGTGTGAACTACAGCGGGTTTGCTGCTGTAGCTGCCGTACAGGTTTACCTCCCTCACTTTGTTTCTTATCTGTCCCTCATATCAGCCAAGACTTTCTTCTGTTCTCTTTGTTCCTCCTGCTTGTTATCTAAAACATTTTCTGAATTTCTGTTTCTTTAGGTCGTTATCGCGTTCCATGTCATCCTTGCCTTCCGGCAAGATGCGTATGAGATAGAACAAGAGAACAGGGCTCGAGGTAACACAGGTGCCCAGCAAGGGGATAAGAAGTCAGACTGAGGATGGACCCTATGCTTCGTCCTGTTCTCGTTGTATGCAGATATTTTATTGGTTCTCGAGAGAACAAGCTTTGCGTTCAAGACGACATGATATCTCAAGAATGCTCCTGCTCCCCCTGCTCCTCCTGCTTGTCCTGTATCGCGTCTTCTGTTGGCCTCAACCTCTTCTGCTCCACCTCGACTTCATCCTTGTCCTCCCGTTCTATTCACAGCCTTAGCGACAAAACAACTCAGCTCTCATCTCGTGGATACCTCGTTTCTTGTTTCCTTGTAGATCAGTCAAGATCGCAATCAAGATCTCGTTCCGTTGCTGCACCTCCAGTCATCTTGACCCCTCCCTCCGTCAGAGAGTCTATCAGACCTCCTCTCCAAGAGCTCCGAGCTGGTTCCACTCGGTGATGTCCTGCAGCTCCCCTCCGAAGCGGCAGCAGCTCTCCTTATCTGCGCGACTCAATTACGAGACTCGTCCCCGAGCACGAGCCAGAACCTGTCAGGTCCATCGAGCGGATCGCTTCAGCTTTCTCTTCAGACACCTTCTGTTGCAGACTCTCCTGGCAGCCGAAGGTGAGACTGGGAGACGCTTTGCTTCCTCCCAGACCTTGGTCCTGGCGATGAAATCGCCCCTCCACTTCTTGAAGCACTGCTCCCGCCGGCTGGCTGACAGCTGGACAGGTCGCTCAGCACTTCCCTTGGGGTTCGAGCCCTCTGGCTGACCTGCACGAAAGTGCCTTCTCGCCCTTTGAGCTTCTCCTCGACCTCCTCCCAGCTGCGATGACGTCAGCAGCGAAGCACCGGAGCCCGAGGTGGACCTTGAGGAGAGGGTGACGTCCTCCATGCTGTCTAACAACCGCTGCATCATCAGAATCAGCATCGTCCTCCGCTAGATGGACCGGCCGGGTCACCTCAAGCTCTTCCCCGATCTTGTCCAGCATGCTTTCGATGTGATCCGAGAACATGGACTCTCTCTCTATCGCTGTGAACCCCTCCGCGCACATGTGATACCGCTCGTTCTGCACCCTCCCTTAGAAACTTGCGAGGAACAACGGATGCAAGCAACCTTTCTTAGTTTCTCACGAGCATCCGTCCAAGTCATGCTGGGATCCTGCGGCGGAAGACCAAGTCAGCAGTTGACCAGAGGTTCTTGAGTCGGAGAGGGTGCAAGGATAGGAATGCAGACCTTGATGAGATCCTGAAGAAGTTCATAGAACGCGTTTCTGCCATACACGATGTCAAAAGAACAAGGATTTTGCAACCAAGTAGAGAAACAACTTCTTGTAGTTCTTCTTGGGCCTGCAAACAGCCGTCAGCGCTCGTACTCTCCCCACATCTCATCTCCCACTTGCTTCTCCCTCTCCCCCGGTCCTCTTGCCTGGCACAAGACATCAGTTCTGAAACGCCAGTGTGAGCCCTCGACCTGTAGTCGGAATAATTCCTAGGAGGCTCCTGCCGAAACACGTCAAGACGAATGTTGTAGTCATGAACCAGGCACGAACAACAACAAGAACTGTCTTGTGTTCCGATCTTCAAACGGACGAGACTCACTTTGGCATCGTCGTCGGATCGGTCAGAGGTTGAGTCCTTCTGGCCTCCATTCGCCTTGTCTCCATGAGAAGCTGGAGGCTCCCGGTGAAACTGCTTGATATGATCCCGGAACAGCCTCTCCTTGTCCTCCATATCAAGGTCGGACAAGGATGAAGGAAGCTTTCCCTCCTGGGAGCGTCAGAATCAACTCTTGGACGCAAGTGTGAGCACAGGAGAATGATCCCAACCTTCTCCATCTCCTGCAGCTTCTCTTTGTAAGCTGTCCACTTGGATTCATGATTGAGCTCAGTGTCTCCCGTCAGCATTTTGATGAACTGATTGCACTTTCACTACCCTTCTCCATCTCCCACCACAACAAAACCTCTTCTCGAGCTCTGTTCCTCGCTTCTCTCGCCATACTCCGGAGGGGTTCAATCCTCATATTAAACAATTGGAGGACCTGCGACTTCCCTTGACAAGCGATTTCCCTTGCCGACAGGGAGAGAGGGAGGGAGGGAGGGAGGGAGGGAGGATGAAGAGGAGCCAGAGGCAGACGAGTGCGTTCACCTTCTTGTCGGTCTTCTCCAAGATCGCAAGTCTTTCATCCGACTGGATCTGATAAGACAAACGACAGGATCAAGAACGCACATTCTCAGTACATTGTGACAAACCTCCTCCCAGAACGAGTCGAGCGTCGTGGCGGCTGTGACTGAAGGCTGGTTCAAGAGCTCCTACAACAAGCGTCAACTCTTCACAGAGTGGACCGGTAGTCGACCTTGAAGATCTCCAGCGCTTGTTCACGGAGAGCAGCATTCTTCTTGCGCTCCTTCTCCTTGTACCTTGAGCCTTCACGTCATTCCTCGCCTTCCCGTCCTCCCTTCTCTCACCTCATCACGTCGGACCTCGTCAACGACGCAAAGACCGTCTTCCGGTCAAACTGTCAACACCATAATCACCAAATCTAGCCGACATCACACCAGCCAAGGACCCACCACGCTGTCCAGCAGCTCCTTGTAACGAGGCTCGAAGCAGAACTTGGGCAGCTCCTTCTCCCACGAGGACCCTGACAGAGTGCCCGTGAGAAGCGAAGGAGCGCATGCGGGGGAGGAGGTGCAGTAACCTGGAACGACTCCTTTCTCCAGCAGCATCTCTTTGAACTCAGCCTTCCGTCTTGCAAGATCAGCCTGACGGAGGTCAAGGAGGATAAGATGGGCTGTTACTGAAGGGCAGCATGTGCACTGACCCGTTCTGCAGCGAGTCTCTCTCTCTCTTCCTCCTGTTGCAGCACCAAGTCAGTGTCCCAGCCAATAGCGAGCGGGAACAGACCTGCTTCTTCTTCTCTTCCTCTCTCCTCTTCTTCTCCTCCTTATCTACAACTGGAAAGCGTGAGCACATAACTCTCTGTGAGGGCAGCCAACCTTTGTTTTGCTGCTTCGGTTGACCAGCACCCCCTCGAGCAGCAGACTCTTCTGATTCGCCTTCCTCTGGTTCCTCTGCCTGAGCGTTAAACGCCTGATTGAACGCTCTGTCGTGCTGGATGTTTGCGGGCATCGCGTATCCCGTCCACCCGCTCTCTTGCATCGCGTCAGCTCCTTGATAGAGCATCTGGTTCGACATCATGGCCGCTTGGTACGCACTCTTGTTCTGTTGGTACTCAGCCACCTTCATGGGACCCGTCAGCCCTTCTTGCTGCAGTCGCGTCAGCCCACCTCATCAGGAACGTCCCACGTCGTCTCTCCTGTCTCCTTGAAGTAGTAACAAGATCCGTCACTCATGTTCGCCTGACTCCATCCTGTGTCTCCGATCTGAAGCGCGCGAGTTAGAAGGAAGAGGAGCCGGCCATGTTGAGGTTGCCTGCTCGGACCCGATGACCGTGGCATCGTCCTCGTCCTCGTCTGGTTCAGGAGCATTTCCGGCAAACCTGGCGACGGGTGGATCCACAAAACCTGGAGACGAGCGAAACATCAATTCATGCGCATGACATAGCTAAATCATAACAAACAACGATAACGTGTAGTGGAAAGAACATACCAGGGGGCTTGTCCCATGTGGTTTGGCCGTTTAACGTATTGTAGTAATAGATGGCGCCGTCGTTTGCTAATGACAAACATAGATCACTGATTCAACTCCCATTAGCTTGTCAGATGTTACTTGTGAAGGCTTGCCAAGGCTGTGATTCACGCTGCATTTGGAATTGTGGGTGCTCCCTTTGCATGTAGTTCATCATGGACACTGAGAAGCACCGTTACTCCTGTTCCCCTCTCGCGCGAGAAAACACCACCATCAGCGTTGCCATAGGGAACAGGAGCAGCATGTCCAGGTTGCATCGGCTTCATCTCTTCCTCGGACTCATAGTCGTCGGGTGGGAGCTCTGGGGAACATCTCGCCAGTCAGCCTAACAAACAGCCCGGGAGGATTTCAGCAGGAGGAGGTTCAGACCTTCGTGTCGAATGATCTCGAGGCGATAGGCCTCCGTTTCTCTCTCCCTGTACGTCTCTCAGGTTCGACCAACTTTGCTGATGTTGCCGACGCACCTTCCATCAGGCAGTCGGATGCAATACGACGGAGGGTCCAATGTCCTGTCGGCCAACTCAGACATTCATTGGCAAACGATAGAGACTGACCTATCAATGGAAACAACTTGCACCTTTCCGGGGAACACAAAAAGTGAGAACGCAGTCAAAGCAACGAGCAAGAAAGAGCAAACCTCTTTGTAGGAACCATCTCTATCCCTGGCGAGAAGAGAAATTAGTAAATTACGTAATGATCGTTCGGAATGCAGTACTTGTATCGACAGATTGTTCCCAGTCTTATCGAATCCTTGATCGCATTTCCAGATTCTCTATAGTTTCCTCCATGACTCCTCCCACTGATGGAACAGGTGGGATGCGTGACTTGTGGCGTAATGAAAGATAGAAAGAAAACCTTTCAGCAGGCATCCCTTTTGACGTTCGGTTTGAGGATGAAAAGGAAGCATTTCCTTGAGGTTTAGGGAGGAATGGTTGGGGTACGGATTGGTTTGGAGGGAACGAACCCCTAGGCTGGTTTTGGAAGTTGCTCGAGTTGAAGGTCCCTGCCACGATCTCAGCAAGTGAAGCCCAGGGGTCAAGGTAACAGACCTTGCATCGGAAAGTTCGAGGAGTGACGTGGGTTCTGCATTCCACTGTGTTCACAAGGGATGCATGGATGGAAGGGGTGGACGCCCGTGCTCATGACATACCATGCTCATCGGCTTCTTTGGGTCCATCTGTCCTCCAGGCCCTCCCTGTGACATCATCTGCAGACAGTCTGAGCGATGCGTAGGAGGAAGTGAAGCTAGTTCCCAACATCATCTGAAGGCATGAAATTTGCGCGATTGACCGGAGGAACAGGAGGCATCCCCTGTGCAGCAAGTCGACCGAGTCATCTTCTGCGCAAGCAGCCCTCTCTGATCCTCCAAAGAAAGCTCACCTGGCCCATAGGCTGTCTGCTCTGCATGTTTGACATCTGATTCGGTGCCATGAACTGATCCCCCATTCCTCTCGGGAAACCTTCAACGGCAGGTCATTCATGCTGGGAGCGATCAAGTAAAACCATTGTTCATCCAGTTCCCGTTGTTTTGCTGTTGGTTCCATTGCGCCTGCTGGCACCATGAGTAAGGTCAGCCGTCTCCTCGTCCGCATACCTGAGAGCTAAATCCAGGATTCATCATCATGTTCTGAGGCACGTTAGGTTGCATGGCCATCCCAGGCATCACTTGCGGATTCGCCTGCATCCCTCCCGGCATGGAAGGGCCACCAGGCATGGCAACAGGTGGGAAACCTCTCATGTCGCCAGCTTGAGGGCGATTGCCAGGCATGCCGGGAGCGTGCATGTTAGGAAGGGGCGCGTTCATGGTCTGCTGCATCCCCGGTATGACACCAGGGAAACCAGCGGGACCAGGCATGGCGTTCATCATGTTTGGCATGTTTGGCATGTTAGGCTGCATGTTCATCCCGCCTTAAGCGCCTTGAAAGCTGGGAGGTGCTGCTTTGCCACCAACAGACGATGCGAGAGCTGGAGAATGCAAAGAGTCAAATCGTTCATCCATGATGCCAGCCGCCTACCTAATAGAAAGCCAGCCCTTCAGACAACCTGTCGCGGAATCAACTCAGCCAAATGGAGAAAGCAGATGGAAAAGCCGTCGTCTCTCATCAGCGATAGAAATATCAACATCAGATTGCCATTTCTCGACATCACAAAACACAACACGAGGAATATTGGACGGAACATTCGTCGATGCAAGCCACAAATACACGAGATCTGCAACCCCGACGCATACATCATCGTCATCTTTCCACACCATCAGCAGGAGAATGACAGGAGGACCATGTTCTTCTTCGCATGAACCTCCGTCCTCTCCTCTTCCACCTCTCCCTCCCGCTTCCTCTGCCGGCATGCTGATTACCTCCATCTTCCCTCCATGCGGAAGCACGACCGTTACAGATATGAAACCGAAAGCAGTTATGGAACGTTTCTTATACGTTACTCCATCAGTACGTTGATATTGGATAAAGTACCCCACCCACCGGTACCGAAAAGTACCCCAGGTGAATCAGTACCCCCACCATTACTTATAAGCACTGTTCTTTACATTGGTGGGGTAGTCGGCATAAGGGGTTGTAGCAGACAGCAATTGGATTCATTTGGAACAGCCCTGGGGTTTTCAACAGGGGGTAGGGGTACCTTTAGGGTCCAAAATTAAGCTAATAATCAGGGGTGCTTTACATTATTCATCTGGGTAGGGTCATTGATATGTTCTGATATGTAGGGTGGGGTGGCAAGGAGGCAGCGAGCTATGTCGGCTACTTCAACGATGATGCCGAAGGCGACGATGGTGATGGCGATGGTGGTGATGATGGCGATGCTGGTCCAAGCCAGGATGCCCAGGAATGAAGAAGACAGGAGGAAAATGGAGGAGAGCTTGCGCGCTCAGAGAGACAACGGCGTGCATGTTTACTATGTTCTGGTCAAGCGCCCGGAAAGTGGAGCCAACACCTTGGAACGCACCCGTGAGATTGCTGGAAAGTTTCAGCAGAGAATCGCAAAAGACACTCATGTTGCTGTCCATGCAGCCTCCAAGGCAAGAATGAGATGACAAGCGTTAGTTGTTCGGTACTGACAGCGTTTGGTACAGGATAAGATTGTTGTCAAGGTTCAGGGCGATGAGAAACTGGCCAACGAGATTGTTTCTGCTGTTGAGGCCTTCCCTGAAGCTGGCATTGTAGAGAAGAGGCCTATCTACAGGACGCTCGGAGACCAGTCAAGGTTCGGAGGAGGAAGGCGCATGGGAGTTCCCAAGCCGGAGACCGCAACAATGTAGATAAGAGGAAGGATGAAAGGAAGGACCAAGTGAGAAGTTAGCCTTCTCTTCAGTATGTTGAGAGTTTGTCAGATTTGCGTGTTTGTTTTAACGATTGCAAACTTGTCAAGCAATTGTGTCTGGGAATGCTCCTGCATTAACCAGAGGTGCAGAACAAAGATTTGCACTTGTAGAAGTGTGAAAACGCGGGGCAGATATCGATTACACCTCGAACATCCGTCTTTTCACTCCTTTACTTCTTCTTTGATGAAGCAGCAGAAGCGATTCTACAGTTGCTCATCATCTGCATGACCTGAAAAGAACAAGAAACAAAGTCAAGGATTGAAATGCAGCGGCGAACAAACAGACCATATCATGGTCTGCCATAGCTTTGATCAACTCTCTCTCGACCGGGGTTGCATCCTTAACAAACATTCCCTGGGCTTGTTTCGCAACCTTGCAAGTACCATCAGAGTCTATCCTCCACGCCTGGTCTCCCATCGCTCACCTTTCCTTTTTTACCTTGTCCAGGAGTTATCTTCACCTTGTACTTGTAGTTCTACTTGGCGGTGAGGACGAGGCAGGAAGGGAACGATCGATACCTGCATGGCGAAGTACGGCGCACACACCGGCAGACAGTAGAGGAGAACATCGTCGCTTCGAGGCTTATGAAATTATGTCAAGGAAACAAAGATGTAGTCTTAACGTACAAGCGCAGTGAAGAGGTCGAGGTCGACGACCTGGCAAGCATGATCAGGGTGGGCATGCGAAGACCAGCAGCAGGCCAACCTTGTCTTTCTCTTCCTCATTGAGCTCGACGATCCCCTGATGCAGACATCACGTTCGAACAGGCCGAAAGAGCATCGCAGCACCTCATCCTTCTTGATCGCCTGAATCTCTTTCTTCTCCGCCTTCGCCTTCTGACGAGTCGCCTTGGCCTGCTGGTCTCGGAAGCGATGGCAGATACCCGACAGGAACGCGGCCTTGTTCTTCACTTGATCCAATATCTTCCATGCATGTCATCCCCTTCCGAAGTCCCCCCCATTCTAATAGTTTCTAGAGTGCAAACCTGAGCGTCTGCAAAACGAGCAAGGATCTCCAGAGCATCTGGCACTCAACTTCACAACCCGACATCCACAACTCCTCCTCCTCGTCTCTGCCCACACAAGACAATCCCTCACCTTCCTCGCCAAACTCCGCCAACTTCGCAAGAGTGCTCTTGTCGAAGTCCTGCTGCCACGTCAGCACGCCAGGGAGCCAAGGAAGGGCCGCGGATGCTCCTCCTCCCTTTACCTTCCTCGCGCATTTCCCGTCTTCAATGATCTTGAAGAGCCTTGCTTCCACACTGCGACCGCAACAGCCGTCAACAGAGTAGCAGCATTTCTCCAGCTGGACTCAACCTGGTCTTCAACCCCGTGGGCTCATAATCCTCTTCCTACAAGGTTGTGAGGAGGAACACAAAGGGAGGGAACGAGAGCTACCTGCGCCTCCTCATCCTCCTGCTCTTCATCATCATTCGCTGCCCCCGGAAACTCCTTCCGGTGTCTGCCAACGTCCATCGTGAGCGAAGGAAGGGACGCCTCCGGCATCCCTTCTCACCCGAGCATGAACATCGCCGCCTCCCTCTCGTCATCGTCCTGAGTGAACGCTCACACGTGGAGGAGGAGAAGGGAGAGGAAGCAGCGGACCTGATCTCTGTACTTCCCTTTCTTCTTCTTCTTGGCGTTCTGGCCCCTCTTGGTCTGAGGCGGTTGGTTCTTTTCCTCTTCCGGTGCTTTCTTCTGCGCTTTCTTCTGATTCCCTTTGGCCTTCTGACAAATCGAGAGTGATTTCCCTTCCTGCATCAACCTCCTGCTCCTGCTCCTGCTCCTGCTCCTGCTCCTGCTCCTGCTCCTGCTCCTGCTCCTGCTCCTGCTCGTTCTCCTTTCACTTTCTACTCACTCTGACGTCTTACTCTTCCTTTGGTTTTAATTCTCCTGATTCCTCTTCACCTGCTCAACTTCTTGCTTCTGCTGTATCTCAGCGTTGTCTTCTTCCCCGCCCCCCGTCGATGATTTCTTCATCTTCCTCCTCTCTGCCGCTGAAAGATGTCGCTTGCCGCCTGCACGGGTTGAGCTGGGGGCATGCGGATGTTCGGTCTTTGACCTGGTCTTCCCGCATCGCTCTTGGTCGCGTCCTCGCCTCCTTCCTCCTCCTCCTCATCGTCGTCCATGAACGCTGCCATGCTCACCTGTGCAGTGACAAGTCAGAAGGAAGGAGGACGAAATCTTTGCGGCGAGCTACCGCAGCTCCTATGCGGATGCCGTCGGATCCTTTGCTGCCCGAGTCGACGTTGTGCGCATCCTGGTACGGGTGAGGGGATTCATCGCACCAAGGCAAGTGAACTTACGGGCTGAGCAGGAGCAGCTCGGAAGTTTCCTTCCTTCGGGTCTTTCTCTTGCACGGGTTGAGCGGCTGCTCCTTGGCTCTCGCTCACTTTTATCGCCTCCATCTTTCTCTCCGCGCTGTTCACATCTTGCTGTACTTTATCAGAGCTCTTCCCTCCTGCCTTCGTTTCCTTGCTCCCCATCTTCTGCCCACCTGCGCAGATTGTTATCATCTGCCTGCCCTCATCTCCGCCATCTCACCTTTTGATTGCCTTGCATCACTGTCCTTCTTGCCACCATCCTTCTCCTTCGTTTCCTCTCCCTCCTCCTCTCCTTCCTCCTCCTCCTCCTCCTCCTCCTCTGGAATCTCGTCCGAGTCCCCAGCTTTGCCCATCTCTTCCTCTTGCTCGCCCAGCCCACGGATCTTTCGTTCCCCAACATGGTGGGCGAGGCAGCTCTCGTCAATCCGAAAGAGGAGCCCAAACCCCATGATGAGCGAGTTGGGAGGGAGGTAGTTCTTCTTTCCTCGGATCATGAAACTTCCCGTGCTCAGGTACTCTCCTGTTGGTGCGCTCTTCGACACTTGCTCCGGGTGCACCCAGTAAGCGCTCGTTACCATCTTGGCGTCCCATGCCTGGCTCCTGCACACACAAGACAGCCCAGCCTGTGCGAGGGTAAGGGGAGGAACGGCATCCTTGGTATGGTTCTTTATGATGTGGGTAGCCGCGCCATGGATGTCAGCGTGCAGGTAGATGTCTCCTTTCTCCATGTGCCGCTTCACCAGCAGCTCGTTCTGCTGCGCGTCTCTACCGCACAGCACGAGGAAGTTCTCCGAGCTGATAAACCAGATGAATTTCTCGAACCAGTGGGTCTTCCTGATCTGCTGTATGCTCGCCTTCGTGTCTGCCTTCTTCAAGTCCTCCTTCGCCTTCCTCTCCGCTCCCTTGATCGCCTTCCCCGCTGCCTGCATGGTCTTCTCCGCCTTGAGCGCCACCTTCTTCTTCGAGCTGTAGTAGCTCTGCGCGTTCTGATACGCGTTCATCCCCAGGTCCACATCCACCGCCACCACAGGCAGCGTCTGCTCCTCCTCCTCCATCGCGTCCAGTCCGAAGGTGAGGAGGAGGGTGATCTGGTTGGAGTCGAGCTTTAACCCATGGATCATCTGAGCAATCGGATTCCCCTTCCTCCCCTCCTCCTTCACGAGCTTCTTCAGAGACGCCCAGTCCATCCCCTGACTCAGCATGCTGTTGATCACCAGGATAGCGTTGTCCACGTCGCTCAAGTTCGCCTCGATCAGCGTCGCCCGGTGGTAGTTCTCCGCCTCCTCCTCTTGCAGCGCCTGGATACTGGCCTCGTGCGCACGCTTCACCCTCTCTACCTTGCTGACCGCAGCCTTCTTCTGCTGCACCTTCTGCTGCTCTAGCTTCTTGTCCTCAGCGATGGAAAAGTAAGCATCCATGGCCTTGTCGAACGAGTCGAACATGTCAAGCTTCTTCCCGGCGTACTGTCGGAGGACCACAGGGCCGAAGTCGTCGTACGGGCTGTCCTCCCCTGCTCCCTTGCGGACCAGCACGCCCTCGATCATCTTTCCGCCATCCGTCAGGTTCGCAATCATATCGTCCACCTCCTTGAAGACGCCGAACAAGGTCGAGACGACCGGAGAGTCGCGAGTGATCTCCATCTCTGACACCTTCATCTTCCCATCCAAGCTCGTCCCCAGCAGGGCGTGCTCGACGAGAGCTGGGCCGTAGTCCAGCTCCTTGATCAGCACGTCCCTCATCGTTGCCTTCTCGTTCTTCGCGCCCTTCCCAAACGCCTCCATCAGAAGGTCGACCGATATCTTTCGGTTCTCGTTCTGGTTGCTGTCTAGCTGGTAAGTTTCTTTCACGGCAACCTTTGTGTTGGTGGCTTCATCCGTGTACGTTCGCAGGAGGGCCAAGATCGTGTACTGGTGATCTACCAGGATAATGTTCCCACCCGCAAACAGCTCCAAGATCAAATGAAATGCCTCGTCTGCAATGAAGAGAGGAGGAGGTCGAGAGCGAGAGGAAAGAAGAGAGACCGTCAGCCTTGAGCATCAACTCATCGACACTCCACCTGCCGCCCCGAACGTGAAGATCACGACGCGATCGACCCCCAGCTGCTTCACCTGCAGGGACCTGAGGAGGAAGCCAGCCAAGAGGCTCCTCAACCCGCTCACCTCTTCGATCCTCTTCATTCGGATGTGCTTCCGCAGCTTGAGCGTGAAGCCTGACGGCATGTTGCTCTTGTCGCGCATGAACTCCGTGGTGTGGAACCGGATCCCCTGCATCGCAGGCCCTCACAACCATGCCGCACGTCAAGTCTACCAAGGACGCGGAACCCACCGACTCCAGCAGCACCAAACACTTCTCCCCGCTCTGCAACGGGAACCGTTCAGTCATCCAAGGAGAGAGCAGCCAAGCCCCTCCAGCAAGAGCATGCCGTACCTTGTTGGTCTTGAGGAGGTACGTCTTGGCATCGAGGTCGTATATGTTAGCCAACCTCGCCCCCAAGAGCTACGTTACACTGTCAACCTCCAAAGAATCTCGCACGACAAGAAGATCACCTGAGATCTCAGATTTGCCACGGATGCCTTGACATCCAGGACTGTCATACGAGTCTTCCCCATGCTCCTATGCAATCCGGCGGCTGGCACGAAAGATTCTCAGGTCAACAGCTAGCATATCACGTACACGCCATATGCTGTGAGAGGGAGGGAATGAATACTTTGGAACACTGCTCTCTAGTATCTGATGGACATGTCACCTCCACTTCGTCTCGAGCTGTTGCATGCACTTCACTCCTACGGAACATAATTCTATTCTGTTCTGCGACATGTTTTGCTCTGATCTTTGCTCAATGCTCCTCTCATCTCTTCTTCACCTTCTGTTCTTGAACCTTCATGCTATCATGTCCTCCTTCTCATTCCTTACCCCTCATCCTTCCGTCCCTCCTCTCCCTCCTCCTCCTCCTCGGCGACATGAGCTGCATGCGTTCGCACGAACTGCACGGAGCATGTCCAAGAACCTCAGACTTCCAAGGAAGCGAGAAATGAGGGCGATGAGTCGGTCGACAGTCACTGAACGGCGGCCGGACTCCGGTCGGCCCGGCCGGGCATCACTGAGTCTTTTTGGGTCCATTCAAAGGGTGGGTGATAGAAGTCAGAAGGAGGGGTCATGCTACAACCTGACTTTTTGATTGGAAAAGAGATGAGTAAAATGAAGGGAACAGTATACTAAGGGGTGGGGTATTCAGACGGTGGGTGAGGTATCATGATGGAGGTGAAAGGAAGGGGTCATGGACAAACTATGGGTAGGGAAAGCAAGATCAAAGACCGGTAGGGTACTTAAAGTAGGGGTAATGAAAATATAAAGGGGTGGTAGGTGTAAGGGGTGGTCCCTGGTACTACTTTGTTTGGGGGCAAAAGAAGCAACTAGTCGAGATGATCTGGGATTTCAAGAAGGTTTTGACAGGGGTAGGGGTAGGATAGGTCAGGGTAATGGATAAAGAAGGGTGGGTACTCTCAAATGTATCATCGAAAATGAAGGGTCATCTGGGTATTTTTATTTAGTCAGATGGTTGGTAGGGGTGTGATATTTAGGGGTAGCAAGAAAAAGGGTGGGTCTTTGTAAAAATGACACAAGCAGGGTGGGGTGGTGATCTCGTTCAGTACTCTATGGCGCAAGGAGCGTGACTGCAGTGAGAGGATGTGTGGGGCGATGGCAGGGGAGAGGGGAAAGGCGAAAGATAGGTATGGTTCGGGAGAGAGGATGAAGAAAACAGGAAGAGTGAAAGAAGAGGAGGAGAAAACAAGGAAAGCGTAGGGGAGGAAGGTTTGGGAAAGAAGCATGTTCGATTACCAACCATTCAAATCGGGTCGAGGTTGGAGGAATGGGCGTGGAAGATGCGAAGATGACGAGCGGTACCAGTAAAGCGAAAGTAAGTTCGAGGAGCACAGACAGCAGGGGACGAGGAATGATGGAGGGAGGGAACAGAAGTCCATCGAAGCGAACGGTAAAAAGTCAGAACCATTGTAGCTTCAACTATGTCAGATGATGATGGATGGGCGGTTTGTAGAGATGAGAGGGTTGGGTACAAAGTAGCAGATGATGATGCGAAGATATTTGTCGAAGGGTAGATGCGAACATGATGATGTACTCGAAGTGCAGGGAATTTTATCACCTGCCTTCGGTCTGCAACGTATCGAAACAAACTCAGTCTACACTAGCACAACAACCCAACATGCATACCTTGCAGTGAGTCAGAATCATTGTAGAGAATAGGGTAACAGACGAGTTCGAAAGGTGCGATGGGTGGTTCGTTCTGTTGAGGGTCCCTATCATCTTCGACCTTTCCGACTGATTGAAGTGTTGCAGCCAGTTTACGGCACGAAAGATGGCTTGAGGTGCAAACAGGACGAGGAAGGATTGTTGAGACTCGGCCATGATGCAGCACGAAGTATCGATATCGAAGGACTTTGAGGACATGCCGCCTTCCTTCATCTGTCCCATCACGAATGAGATGATGCGGGATCCTGGTATGTTCTGGTGTTGGAGCATGGCAGTGTGGTGACTTACCTGCAGTTTCCACGTGTGACGGGCACAGCTATGAAAGGAGCGCGATAGAGGATTGGTTGCAGAAGCACAACACGAGCCCAGTGACGAACCTTCTGCTGGAGAGCACCATCCTTATCCCCGTGCATGCGCTGAGGAACAGCATCGAGGAATGGTGCCAGAAGAAGGTGAAGTCGGTGCTGAAGCTGTCTGACTTGAAGATGGACGAGATTGCTCTCCATTCTAACTCCACCAAGGAGATCTTTCGAGCGGAGACCAAGAAGTCTGGGATGCCTTCGAGCGTTGCCGTCTTGAAGCTCTCAAAACACGCAAAGCTGAAAGAAGCCAACCTCTTCATGAAGATCAGCAATCATCCATCCATCGTCAGCTTCTTCGGCTTGTGCTATGAAGATAACGAACGATACCTTGTGACCGAGTACTCGGAGCACGGGTCTGTGAATGATGCCATGGAGCGATTTGAGGACGATTTCACCATGCAGCACAAGCTTGTGATAGTCCAGCAGGCATGCAGCGCGATGTCCTACTTGTCGGACTCGTCTCTGCTCCACGGCAATCTGCAAGCGAGGAATATCTTGTTGTTTGAGTTCGACAAAGAAGATCACTCAAAGCTGGTTGCCAAGATCTCTGACTGTCTGCACCCCCTGCAGCAGTACGATGATGCAAACTTCGCCTCTGACTACTTGAGGAGGGTACGATACCTTCCGCCGGAGACCCTGATGAAGAGGAGGTTCACCACCAAGAGTGACGTGTGGGCCTTCGCTGTCACGGCCTGGGAGATCATATCGGGAGGCATGCTTCCGTACTGGGAGCTGGCGGATGAAGCAGAGGTGAAGCGTAAGGTGTCGCAGGGCTACCGACTTGCGAGGCCGCAAGAGCTTGACAACCACTGGGAGCAGCTCTGGAAGACCCTGAGAGACTGCTGGGATACAAACCCCAAGGCCCGTCCTTCTTTTCAGGACATCCTGTCGTCGGTGTCTGCAGAGGAGGGCGCTGCAGCTGCAGCTACTGTACCTGTTGAGCCAGCCGCGGGTTCAGAGGGGAATCGATCAGGTTCTCCTGAATCGCCTCAGAAGAAGCGGCAGCTGAGTGCGGTCGAGTCATCTGAGGGAGGAGGAGGCGGGGGTTCGAGTGCTGGGCAGCACCCTGCAAAGATTGCAAGGGCAGCTGAGCATGCAAAGCCGTCGGAGGCGTCCATGGTGGGCAAGATCCCACAAGACGTGAACTCGAGTTCGAGACCAGGTGGGGACCAGCAGCAGGTGGAGTTCTCGGGGAGAGTCACCTACTTTGCGGGCTCCAAGGAAGCCTTCATGGAGTCGATAGATGGGAAGGTTCTGGGTTTCATCCCCAGCGCGATATGGCAAAGCCAAAGCCCGACCCTGGGGATCAATGACCTGGTCAAGGCCATGGCGGTCCCCATGCTGAACAACCCGCAGCAGTACGAGGTTGTCAGGATTGTCGATGTCAGGAAGAGCTCGAGCGAGCAGCCAGTTGTGTCGCCCCTGATCAGGGACACTGTCGTGAAGAAGGAGAAGATCGACCCCAGCCCACCAGCTAGCAGCACAACGCTGAGCTCGTTCCTCCACGGGGACAGCACGCAAGCGCAGCAGAGCCGGAGCCCGTTGGTGAGCAGGCCAGACGATCTTTCATCGTCCTTCTCAGGCCTCGCGCGATCGGCGAAGACAACCAGAGCTGGCGACCAAGTTGATGGGGAGGTGAAGGAGAGCCCCACCGGGGTGAAGGAGGATGCGTCAAGGCCATCGTCGAAGCCATCTGGTGTCTTGTGCTTCTTGATTGTTTCTTGGAAATGACGAGAGGATGCAGAGAGCTGGAGGCAGGTCGTTGAAAGTGACGCCTATGATCCCGTGGCAGCGTTTGAAAGCGATCCAAGGGAGGAAGAGAGCAGACGCATGACTTCGACTCATTCGCGACAGTGAGCCTTCTACCTCGAATCCTTCAAAACCCTCCACTCCCCCCCCACACCTTTCTTCCGCAATCTTGTTTAAACGATTTCCTCCCTCCAGTTTCTTTCTTTTTCGTGTTTGTTCCTCCCACTCCCGTCGTTCTCCCACTTCTTCCTGCTGATCATGTTCTCAGAAGCCCCCATAGATCTGCCGCCTCAAATCAGGAGGCGATTGCTCTGGCTCCCGCACCTTCGCCTCCCGTGCAAGACAACGGGATGCATGTGCTGGGCGCCTTTGCGACCTATGGCTGCGCGAAGGATTACAAGACGGTGGTATCGATGAAGGATGAGGTGGTTGCCATCGCTCGGAGGATCGATGCGGATCAACCGAAGCTGGCGATGGTGATTTTCAAGGGGCTGGGGGAGGCATACTTCAGCTTGGGGAACTACAGGAACTCCCTCGAGATGCACCACGATCAGCTGAGAATCGCTGACAAGATCGGGGACGATGAGAACAAGAAGATCGCCTACAAGTGCCTGCACAGGGCGTACGTGCTGCTCAAGGACGTGAAGATGCAGGAGAAGACTCTGAAGAGCCTCCTTGACGTCTGTCACACTTGTGTGGATGTTCAGACCGAGATTGACACCTTGAGGGAGCTGGAGGGGCTCTACATCGCGACGAAGGACAGGTTCAACTTGATCGAGACCCTGAGCAAGCTGCTCAGGATCTACACCGAGACTCAGATGACAGACGCGGCGAAGCGGGTCAGGGCCCACCTGACCTCCCTCATGGCGGAGGTGGAAAGGGAGCTGGAGAGGACCTCGTCTTCCTCGGAGGACTTCAGCAAGCGCTACCTCGACTACGGGAACATTCTCCATGCGCTGGGTAAGTTCGATCAGGCCGTGGATATCTACAGGAAGTTTGTCCGGTCGGATCAGGGTGGAAAAGCCTCGAGCAAGGAGCCGATGGCGCAAGAGCAGCCCCGATCATGGGACAAGCAGGAGAGAAAGGGGAGACCGGACTCAAGCTCTGGAAGCAGCAGCAAGAGGCCCTACGAATCCAGCGATGGAGTTCACGACGACGGCGATCGGCATAAGAAGAGGGACCTTCCCTCTCTGCGATTTACCGGGAGTATCCTGACCATCCTAAACTCCAGCGCCATCCTGGAGTCGGAGTACGATTCTAGCAAGATCGAGGTTCCGTACGACCTCTTCAAGCAGAGCAAGACCTACGTCAGGATCGGTTCGAAGCTGACGGTTGAGGCGCGGAGGTGTCCTCCCAACGAGACGGAAGCGACTTACCTGGCGACTGCCATCGTCAATGATGGCGCGGGAGCAGCGGATAGTGGACACGGGAGCAAGCAGAACCCTGGGCCGTCGGGAGGAGGCGACAGGAGTCCGTTAGGAGAAAAGTCGTACGAGGTTGGCGTCACGATTGAAGTTGTGAGGGAAGGGATCAAGAAGATGTTCGCCGTCCGATCGATCGTGCGAGGAAGCACCGCAGACATGCAGGGGCTGCTCGTTGGTGACGTCATCATCAGCATCGACAACACGCCATGCGCTGGGATGAGCTTCGAGCAGGTCGAGTCGAGGCTGCGCGGGCCCAAGGACTCGGTGGTGAGGCTCAAGTACGAGAGGCAGAGGTCGCGCAACCAGGACTACGTCTCCGTCGGCTTCGTGTCGCTCTGCTGTACCATCCCCGTCTCCCACGTCTCCCAGAGCAGCTCCTTGTCCTCGGAGGCGAAGAGAGCCTTTCGCATCCTCAAGGAGTCGCTGGAGAACTTGCAGGACCGAGCGACGAAGCTGAATGTGAGTGAGGTGACGGATTGATCGCTTCCTGACCTGGCGGCCAGAACTGGCTGGATTGGGCGTTCTCTGTCGAGGGAAAGTTTGCCGGCCCCATTGCAGCCCGACACATCAAGGCGGAGCTGAGCTCTCGGCTGGTGGCGATGGGGAAGGGTTCCTTCTCGGAGAAGGTGAGAGGAGAAAGGGGAGGAGGGTGGACGAGCACGAGCACGAGCACGAGGAGCTGAGGGGACTGATGAAGGAGCTGAGGGGGCGAGCAGTTCAAAGTGGAGAGGGGGTGATGGATGAGGGAGTGTTTGTTTCCTGCATGCCGAAATTTTACGATCTACAGGACCTTGGCTACTCTCGTTTCTCGGATTTTCTACAAGATGCCATGGATCACGGTAAGTTGCTGCCGATGTCTCGCATCCTACTGTCTTCTTCCTTCCTTTTTGCCTTGTCTCCTCCCCTCTCCTGTTTTCTCCTCTCCTCTACTCCTGTGTCCTCTCCCCTCTCCTCTCCTCTCCGCTCCTTATCTTCCCTCCTCTTGTCCTCTCCTCCCCTACCCTCCCCTACCCTCTCCTCTCGTCTGCTCTCGTCTCGTCTCGTCTCGTCTCGTCTCCTCTCCTCTCCTCATGTCTTGGTCGCCTTGCAGGAGTGGTGACCATCATCTGGGTGGAGAACAAGGTCTGGGTTGACACCTTCGGGTCAAAGTTCGTGGCCCCGAAGCTGGTCAAGAAGGTGGAGGCGAAGAACATCTGCCGTCACTGGCAGAGAGGCTACTGCAAGGACGGGGCCATTTGCCCATACATTCACAATGAGAGCTGCAAGCTCTGGCTCAGATACGGCCACTGCCCCCGGGGCTCCAAGTGCTCCCTGCTGCACATGTACACATGAGGGGGCGAGAGGAGGGGGCGACATGGGAGGGACGAGGAGGGGTTCGGAGGGTTTTTGTAACATATCAGTGAATGAGTTAAGTATGATAACGGGAGCGGAGCGTTCATGGCAATCTCATCAGAGCTCTCTCCCCGCCCGCCTGCCCCCCTCCTGATACTCGCTGATGACGTTGGTGCAGTGCTGCATCCAGTCCACTAGCTCCTTCCAGAGGCTCTCTATCACCTCCCGCCAGTCCACCTGAGGATACGCCATCATGATCGCCCTCCGTAGAACCTGCAAGACCGTCAGGCTCGCTGGCGCCTTCCCCCGCCCTCGTCCTACCAAGACGAAGATGCAGCTGAGGAGGAAGCGGATGACGGAGTTGAGGAAAAGCTCGTCCTCCGAGGGAGGAGGCACGTTGTGCCCCTCGACCCTCGTCAGTCGCTGCCTGTGCGTCCTCACCGCCCGTGGCACCTCTGCCCGAGCTGGAGCTCTCCCCTGCAGGCCCCTCAGCTCAGCCCTGCGCGCAAGCCCTCTGCTCACCATCGTGTGCTGCGGAGGACGAGCTTCGTTCCTCTGCACGCCAGTCCGCTGGACGGCAGCTGGGCTACTCGAGGCTGGAGGGGCCACAGCTGGGATGACAAGTCAGGCAGTCGAGCAGCTGGCGATCAGCTCACCTGCGCTCTCAGCAGCAGGAGTGACGCAACTTCCTCCCTCCTCCCCCGCTGACTCGCCATGTCGAGCTCCATCGCGGCCCCCCATGCCCGCAGCGCTCGGGGCTCCCTCCTGGCGAACAGCTGAAGGTGCTGCTGGGCCTTCTTGAGCCTCCCTCCCCTCCTGCACGCTCGGGGTGGCTGCTGGGGCAGCAGCAGCAGCACTCGCCGCGCCCCTGCCTCCTGCCGCGGCAGGGGAGGAGCCAGCTGGGGAAGTGTGGGCTCGTTGCAAGAAGTCTTGGAAGGCTTCCAGCATCCTGTTGGGCGTTAGCTGAGCGATAGGAGCGATAGGGGGATCGCTCACCCGTGGGTGCGGAGGGAGGCGGCCGAGTTCTCCTTGGATTTCTCCGCTAGCTTTCTGAGCAGCCGATCAGCCCGCACTCTCCTGTCTCTCCCCCTCACCTCCTCTCCTCGTCGCTGTAGTCGAGAGCCGCGATGGCTCCGTTCCCCGGAGTCGGCATGAAGCTCTGGATGGCAGTGAGGGCTGCAGTGGAGACGCGTCAGACGAGTCCAGCACCAGTCCAGCTGAACACTAGCTGACGGACCTGTACGGATATCCCAACCAGGCTGCCATAGCTCGGGGTGGTGCTGGGAGATGCTGAGGCAGATCTTCTTGCCGACCTCGAACCTCCCCTGAGGGCACAGGAACATGAACTCTGGAGGCTTGTGGGGGTACTGAGGACGGGAAATCTATCAGCGTCTTTTGAAACTGACAGGGCAGCATCGAAACTCTCACGCTCGCTTTCAAAGCACACCTCATCGCGACACAGCAACCAGCACATCAGTCAGGGAGCAAACGTCACCTGCGACGGTAGGATGATCCTGCCATGGTAGAGCCCTCCAGCGAACGGAGTGTCGGAAGGTCCTCGCAGCACAAAGTGCCAGTCGAACAAGTTCTCCTCGACCGGGTGAGCTTCAAAATCGTCGGACGGGTCCGCTTGCTGATCGTTACATGCACCCAAGTAAGCGGTGCAGCTGAGGAGGTAAAGGGAGCTTAGGGGGTCTCACCAGTTTCTTCAATTCACTCAGAATCCTACGAATAGCAGGATTGTTTGTGTTAAGCTGTGAAGACATTCTTCCTTCCTGCCGCAAGCCAGCAGATACCCCTCACTCTCTTATCTCTTATGTTCCGATCTGCCAACGCTGGTGTCAATCAATAGTCCAAAGCACAATATTTACTGCTGTCGACAGGGGAGAAAGAAAACAACATCTCAAGCAAAGCTATCAGAGAGTGTTGTTCTTTATCATAGCATGACTTCTACTTGACTAGCAATGCATAAAATCAAAGCATCTATTTCTATGCCCCGCTGCAAAATTCTACAACCTTTCCTGTTCTCATATCCTCACCATTCACTTCTTCGTCCTTCTCTCTTTGCTTCGTTTAAATCCTTAGATACAAATATCTGCTTCTTTCGTTCTGAATTCTCTTACACACTTTCTATTTTTGATGTAGCATAGGCGTTCCTTCCAGCCAACCATCCACCACCTCCACTCACAGATTCCTCTCTACTTCTCTTCTTCTGATCTCTCTTCTTCTCCATCTCCTCTCTTCTCGTTCTTCTCCTTCTCTACATCATGTTTTCCTTCTCTTCTCCTCTACTCTCGCATCTTCAACTACCTACCTCCTCCCTTCCCTTTTCTCCTCCCATGTCACCTTCTTACGATCGTCTCCACCCCACCCCCCCAAATCCAGCGGAGTACCCCATCACCCGCCCTAAGGAATTCAACCTACCCCCACCCATATATTTTCCCCAAACATACCCCCTTCTAAAAATTTACCTACCCCTGATTTTCTATGACAATACTACCCCCCCCGACCTGCCCCCACCCGTTTGCTGGCCGTTGGATCGCAATGGTGGAAGGCGACGGGAGGAGGAGAAGCGCATGGAACAGGACGGGTGAGACGAAGAGGAGGAGAGAGGAGAAGGATGAGTATAAGAAACGTGATCATGATGAGATGAGATCGTAAGCAGAGTTGCTGAAAGATGATTGGTGAGCTGTGTATGTTATGATCGAGTCAAATTGGTGTCGATGGAAGGTAGATTATCGTCGGGAACGACAACCAAAGCGCGCTCAAGATCCGTAAAGATGCAGAATGAGATCGTTGACGAGGATCCATGAAACTAGCAGCAACGAATGCTATGTTCACGACCGGTGGAGAGAACGGAGCGATTAGAGCAGGCGTTACGATCGTTTTGTTCTATCTCTGCTGTGATAATGTTATTAGACATCCTGATGATACGTGTGTTGTGACCACTTGCATTCTTCACTGCCTTACACTGAACATCTCCTCCAGGCTCGTCATTGTATGCAACGTCGTCGAGGCAGTCTCTCACCGCAAGCGCATGCCTCATGGTGCGTTCCCAACCTCCACATTATCGGCCCGTGCGCTTCTCCGTCTCACCCATCCACCATGCAGAGGCTGAGGGATAACGTCATGAAGACAGACGACGTGGGGAGCAAAGAGGTCAAAAGCAACCCCAGCACGAGGAGATGCGGCATGAGAGGCTGACTTCTGTAGCAGGTTGGGGGAAGGACGAAGAGTAAGAGAGAAGATCCGGGGTAAGTTTGTCGATCTCAGCCTCGTCATTCCTTGATGATTGTTTGCTGCAGCTCTCTTGACACAGACGAGGGCGAGAACAAAGTTAGGAAGTCCTACAACGTCGTCCTCCAGGCAGGCTTGCAGTAGCGGCGTATCGTCCCAGCCTGACGATCTGATTGGCAGTTGGCCGATGCAACTAGAATGACAGGATCGAAGACGGTGACCAAAGAGTCCGTTTCTTGCATACCCTTGACCTCTTCCGCAGGAGTTGGACCCCAACGATGTCCCAGCGTGGAGAACGAAGATGTGTCAAAACCGAATGTCTATCCTGGAGGTGAATGAAATGTTGCTCGATCCTCCCGCTTTCTTGAGGCTGATCTCGCAACTCCGCGATCAGGGGGAGAAACACAAGCTGGAGCTCAAGAAGCGCCTGGTCACAGCTGAGATAGAAAGGAAGACGGTGAGTTCTCCCCTTCGTGCAAAGTTTGAGCCCTTCTAATCCTGGACGCGAAAGGCGCTGAGGAATCGAGCAGCAGAGGACCTCTCAGGGAAGATGAAGGAGGTGGAGTATGTGGAGACGTAAGCTTGCTTCATGGAGGGAGAGAAGGGATCTTTGATGTGCACGCGTTTCGCAGCCAGATCAAGGAGTTTCGGAACATGCTGCAAGATCGAGAGAAAGTGGTAAGTTCGACATGGTCGGCGTTATCGGCCCTGTTGACTCTCGCTTGAAGGTGGCTGAGCATACAGCTGCTCAGAAGGAGGCGGTTCTTGCGGACACTAGAGAAATCGGAATGATGGTAGGGCAGGATACTCCACTCCGTCCTCCTCCTGCTCTCCTCCTCCTCAACCACCTCCTGCTCCCACTCCCACTCCCACTCCCACTCCCACTCCCACTCCCACTCCACTCCCACTCCCGCATTTTCGTTCCCTCCTTCTGCTTCTACTCCAGGATCTGCCTGCTCCGTTACATCTCCCTCGTCTCCTTCCTTCTTCCTCTGCATGGTTTGACAAGGATGGTCAGATGCGCAGTGCACAGTCAGCACGGGAGCGGAATGTTTCAACGTTCGCTGCGTTCGACCTTGCGGTGATGCTGGTCATCCTACCGAGCTCATCCTCTGAGACCGTCGCAGGAGCGGACGAGGAGGAACCACGAGGCTACGAGGACGCAGACTCTGAACATCAGGAGCCTGTTCTCCTCCATCGGTTTGTAGTCTTGCTTTCGTGTTGGGCCAAGTTGGTGACGTAGCGACCGGGCAGCGGCCGAGAAGATCTCCAATGGGATAACAATGCGCCATGAAAGGTTGCAGGAGCGTTGAAGCTATCCTTTCCTCTAATTGTCGACAACAGAAAGAAGAACATGGAAACCATCGAGGCCCTCAACAAGGTATCTTTCCCACCTCCTCCCTGCCCCACGGATCTCAACAGCGTTCCAGGCTGAGCTGGCCAGGCTGCAGGGGTTGAACGAGACGGTCAAGAGGGAGCAGGTCGATCCAGCTCCCATGGGAAGGAGCAAGTCTGACTTGAGTGTTGTGCAGGAGCTATCCGCCAAGAGGCTAAAGGAGAAGGTGATACCCTGCCTGTGCTGAGCCAGAGGGATGACAAGTCTATGCAGATCGACCTGACGCAGAGGAAGAGGACGGAGGAGGTGGAGTCGCCGCGCGTGCTCCGCGCTCCCACTCAGTGACACTGTCCTTGTAGTACCTTGCGAACAGGACTGCTCAGTTTAACGAGTTCAAGAAGGCAGCCATGGTGAAACTTGGGCAGGAGATGCTCTCCTTGATCTCACTGTTGCTGATGTTGCAGGTGACATCGGACATGCAAGATAAGGCAGCGAAGATCGTAGAGGAGCTGAGAGAAACCTTCGAGGTGATGCGCGACCTGCTGTTGCGTCATCGTTGCTCTCTTGCTTGACAGGATTTCTTGCAGAACACAAGAGATCTCGAGAGAAAACTGAGAAAAATATGAAGAGTGAGAAGATCAACCAATAGACAAAATGCTTAGTCTCTGTACAACATCGCCCTCTCTTGATTCCCCTTCCCTATACCCTCTCTCTCTCTCCTCCTCTCCCCTCGTGTTCTCCTCTCCTCTCCTCTCCCCTCGTCTCCTCTCCTCTCCTCTCCTCTTGCATGTCAAGCTCTCATCGGAGCCTCATCGCGCCTGCAGCTTTTGTAATAAAGTTACTCAGAGCTCTCTTTCCCTATGTTTCGTGGGTAACATAGCTAAAATAGCTTAAACTCGCCTCCGCCTCAGATTTCAATTATTGTTTTTTAGAGGACAGCAATTGCAATTAATGCAACGACATTTCAGCAGTCTAATTCGGGTGGGGCAGCTTTCACTACCCTGACGACATTTCGCGTCAAATGCTCGTTTAACGCCTCTGCCATCTGCTCCGCATCCTCGTCCTCCCCACACCCTCCCATCCTCCTCGTCCTCCCTCCTTCCCTCCCTCCTCCTCCTCGTCTCCTCCTCGTCTGACTACTTACTTCTCCTCTCTCCTTCGTTGCTCCCCTCCTCCTCTCTCTTCCATTTTCCTTCGTCACCATCATTCCTCTTGCCCACCTGCGTTCACTTGCTCCTCGCCCGGGTCCAGCTATGAGGCTCCTTTCCTGTCTCTTGCTCTTGATAATCGCAGGATCTGCTGCAGAGCAAACATGCTGCGGTCAGAACACAGCCATCGTGCTATCTTTGGAAGTAGCCCTGACGAGTGAGACCAACGTGCGGAGAGATCAGATGGTTGAGATTACCAAGAGCGCCATCGCCGGGGCACCTGTCCCCCTGCAAGTTGACGGACTGCAAGACTTCAACGACACTTGTGGGCAGAGCGGGCAGCAGACCATCGGGCTGACAGTCCCCTGCATCCAGATCTTCTTTGCAATCAAAGTGACGTCGGTAGAGGACGGCCTCTTGCTGATAGACTACATCCAAAACTCCGTGGGGAACCTGCAGGACAATCATGGCGTCTTCACTCTTGTTCCTAACAACATGCAGAGGTTCTGTGAGGGCTACTCCCAGCCTTCGGGTTGTGTTGTGTCTGAGCAGGTCAAGTCTAGCAAGCTGCTAGAGATCGCAGGCCACTTGAACGCCAGCAACCTCTTCCTTGTCAACGGCCAGCCGGTCGAGAGCGAAGGTGTCAGTGCGAGGATCTTCGATCTTGAGATGGTCAACTCGCTCAACTCCTCCATCTCGTCCTGCATCGCCAAGGTTGCGAACCCGACCAACGTCCTCAACTGCACAGAGTCTTTCTCCTCGGACTCGCTGAGAGTGTTCCGTCTCGAGGGATCCAAGGTCCTGGCCCGATACTACCTGTGGGGGGTCAGCGAAGCTGCTTCCTGCTCCCTGCAGGTGAAGGGTCTCTCCTTCAGCTTGGAGGATGTTGTTCTCGCTGTCCCGCAGCTCTCGACGAACAAAGTCTGTTTTTTTCAGCCGTACGAGATGTTCGTGCAAAGAGCGAATCTGAGCACGTTCCTCGACAATTTCGGGGGGATCCTGGTGAGAGCTGAGGACCTTGCTAGCTCTCCGTGACTTCTCCTTCCGCAGACCGACAGCCTGTTCACCTTGGCCTCGCTGCCCAAGGACCTTCAGCTCCAAGTGACGGACATCGAGCACTGGCCAGGGTACAGCAACAACATGCTCGATCCTGTGCTCTGGAAGGAGCCAGGCATCTCCGTGAAGCTTCTCATCCCCCTCAACTCTCAGGTCACACTGGGCGAGATGCTTGTGTTTCATTGAGGTTTGACAGGGTGACAACGCCACTGCTCTCAGCGCTCTGTCGGAGAACGTGGGGCACATGGCTGTTGCCGTTGCGGTGAGATTAGGTGAAGAGAGGGACTAGGAGTTTGACATGGAGCTGCAGGACATGGTGGTCAATTTCTACGACCAGAGCTACGTTCAAGACTGTCTTTTAATCAAAGGGAATCAGAAATGTGTCCCGAAAAATTATACTTGCTCGTCATAGATGCTGTCCCAACTGATGCTTCCTCATTGCATGCGAGCCCAACTTCTGAACCACGAGGGCCTTCCTCTCCTCCCACACGCGAAACGAATCTTCGCTAAGAGCCTGCGAGAGCATCTCCTCTACCCGCAGCTCGTCGCATCATCCGATCCCGTAAAGGGAGGGAGCATGAGGAGGCGGTGCGGGAGGGTGACGGGAGGGGGAAGGTGCCAGCGACGCTCTTGTCTAGCAGACGATCCTCAGTCCTCATGACCTTGAGCTGCAGGGGGTCAGCTGGGAGGAATCAGGGTGGCAAGTAACCTGTCAGAGCTCGAGCTGCTCGATGATGACCTGCTCCGCCGTTTCCTCTCTGAGCTCCTGCAGAAGCTGTCAGCAAGAGGAGGAGGCGTCAAGAGGTGTGGAGACCTGTCCCGACTTCTGCTCCTGGACCTCCTGCATCAGTGTCGTCAGTTTGCTGGAGTCAAGGACCAGCAACGGCTGTACCTCTCATTCCTTGGAGGGGGCGAGTCTTTCTTTCCGCTGCCATTTCGCTCTGGCGATCTTCGCCTACACAAGGCAACCGTCATACTCTGGCAGCAGCGGCTCATTCGAGGGACCTCAGAGGAGACTGCCGTCTCGGGGGGCTACGGAAGCGACGTGGAGAGTTTCTTCGAGGAGACCTTGAATTTCTCCTAAAGGGAGATGGAAACCGTCGCCTTCTCGGCGATCTTGAGTCCCTCCTGGGAGATCTTGACCTCCTTCTCAGCGGCGAACGTGACCGACGAGGCGACCTAGAGCTGCGTCGAGGAGGAGACCTCGATCCTCGCTTAGGAGGAGACCTCGATCCTCGTCTAGGAGGAGACCTCGATCCTCGCTTAGGAGGTGATCTCGATCCTCGTCTAGGAGGAGACCTCGATCCTCGCTTAGGAGGAGACCTCGATCCTCGCTTAGGAGGAGACCTCGATCTACGCTTAGGAGGTGACCTCGATCCTCGCTTAGGAGGTGACCTCGATCCTCGCTTAGGAGGAGACCTCGATCCTCGCTTAGGAGGAGACCTGGATCCTCGCTTAGGAGGAGACCTCGATCCTCGCTTAGGAGGAGACCTCGATCCTCGCTTAGGAGGAGACCTCGATCCTCGCTTAGGAGGAGACCTCGATCCTCGCTTAGGAGGCGACCTGGATCCTCGCTTAGGAGGCGACCTAGACGCTCGCCTAGGAGGTGACGCTCGCCTAGGAGGTGACCTAGACCCTCGCCTAGGAGGAGACCTAGATCTGCGTCTGAGTGGGGACCTGGATCTCCTCTTGGGAGGAGATCTCGACGCTCGCTTAGGAGGAGACCTAGATCTCCTTCGAGGGGGTGGAGGAGAATTCCTCCGGCGAGGAGAACGAGAGTCCCTTCTCTGAGAGCCGTGGTGTTGTTCCTTGCCGTGGGGCGATGGTTTGCCATCACGATCCTTAGATCTGCGCTCATGCTCTTGGGGATTAGAGGTTCGCCTTTCTTTCTCAGACTCGTGACGAGTCTCTTCTCGGCCCCTGTGATGGTGTTCGCCTGCATGGTTGTGAGCATCCGAGTTCTTGTCCTTGTGTCGATGATCCTTCTCCGACTTGGACTTCTTCGCTGCTTTCTTGGCTGCTTTCTTGGCTGCTTTCTTGGCTGCTTTCCTCGCCTTTTTCTCTGCTTTGCTCTCCTTTGAATCGTGTTTCCTCTTCCTATCCTCAGAATGTCTTTCATCCCTGTCCTCAGCAGCGTGCAGAACTCCACAAGAATGAATCACCACGTCATCAATGGGCTTATCTCGAGGACCAGTTTGCACTTTCTCCATCTCTCGAACCACCTCCATCCCCGCAATCACCCGTCCGAACACCACATGCTTGCCGTTCAGGTGAGGGGTCGGCTGGAAGGTGATGAAGAATTGCGAGCCGTTGGTGTTGGGCCCGGAGTTTGCCATGCTCAGCAGACCGGGCCGGTCATGCTTGGACACAAAGTTCTCGTCCGGGAACTTCGCCCCGTAGATGCTCTCGCCCCCGGTACCGTCCCCGCGAGTGAAATCTCCTCCCTGCGCCATGAACCCGGAGATGATCCTGTGGAATTTGCATCCTTTGAAATGCAGAGGCTTCCCGCTTGCTCCCTGCCCCATCTCGCCCGTGCACAACTTGAGGAAGTTGGTGGCGGTCTTCGGGACTACATCCATGTAAAGCTCCATTTGGATCCTTCCGGCCGGAAGGAGTCCGATCTTGATGTCGAAGAACACGACGGGGTTCTTGCCCATCTGTCAACCATCGTCAAGAGGGAGGGACATGCCAGCTGATCTCAGCTAGCAAGCAATCTAAGTGAGTTTGTCAGTGAGTACTGATACGACCCGACAAGTTTGTAGGGCCCCGTACCACCACACTGCTCATGATCCTGCCACCATTCCTGATCCTCATCCTATCCACTTTCCTAATCATGATCTCCACTGCGTGAGAGGAAGTTCTTTCGTGCGTCATAACTTCCTTCTCGACATTCACTACCTCTCGCCCATTTGATCCTCGGACAAGACCCGCGGAATCAACATTCCGGTCGCCGAGGTTGAGGAAACAGCAGGTTTAACGCCATCGTCATCATACACAACAACAATGACATGACCTGTAGCATCTACCATGACGCAATATCCTTGTCTCCGCACTGGAAACATCACCTCGCATCTACCACAGCATCCTCCGCACCCAGGCACAATGAGCAACCCCTTCCACTCCCCTCCCTCCTCGTCCCAGCACTCTCAGTCACCACATCTCGTCAAGCAGCTGCTCACGTCCTTCAACACCCTCCCTCCGACTTCTCTTCGCTCTCCCCATCCCCCATCCTTCCTCCTCTTGTCTTTCCCACATGCCCTCTGGCGGCGCAAGTGCGAATTGCCCTCATCCCCCCTCAAACATTCCATTCCGGGCCACCCGAGGCGGGCTTGACCTCATCCCCCCACAGGCCCCGAGGACATCTAAGGACAGATCCAATATGCTGCGGCGCCTCGTGGTGGTCGCTATGCTCGCGTGCGCGTCAGCGTTCCATGCTCCCTCCTTCCTCCCTCCCTCCTCAGGTCTCCACAGAAATCTCCATACCTCCTCCATCTCTCCTTCCAGAGGCTTCGGGAAAGCCATCCCTGCCGCGTGCCCTGGAATCAAGTCAAGGGCTTCACGGGCCCTCGTGGCTCCCAGGGTGAGTGGGTTGATGTGCCGTTGAGAGCGAACTGTAGCGCTAATTACTGCTGCTTGATCTTCGATCCTGAGATGAAGATTTGTTTCTTTGAGAACCTCCTTGCGCTTCTCCCTGCTGCCTCGTTCGCGCTGATGTTGGACGTTGTCAGATGGAGCTGGATGATTCGACAGTAGCAGGAGCCATTGCTGCGCTCGCCGGTATCGGCGTTGCTGTGGGAGGGATCTACTTCGTTGAGCAGAGGGCAAAGACGAGTTCGTCGGGGATGAGCGAACAGCTGTACACGAAGCTCGCCTCCAAGATGGACGGGGCCGACGCTGAGAACAAGTTCAGTGGATCGGATCAGACCTTGGAGAGCCTGATCGCAGGCATGGAGGAAGCACAGGCATGTGTCCTTGCTGCCTTGAGGATGACATCTGATGACCTGATGTTTTGAGCAGGGAGTTAAAAGAGAGCCGAAGGCGAAGGCCAAGGTTGAGGAGGAGGAGGATGACGGATGGTGAAGTTCGCGGGATCTTATCGCCCGCACGCTCACAGACGCTGGTGTGAGGTGTCTTCTGCTGAGCTTTCTAGCATGTGAAGAGAATGATGATATCGAAACTCTCTGTGAGACTTCTGGTGATGTGTTCATCCTGAAGAGATAGCAAGGTTTCAAATCTATGGCTCATTTATTCTTTCATTCTTACACTGCATCTTCTATCAAGCCATCATCCCCACTCCTAAGTGTGATGAGAGTGATAGTGCACTATGAAGTTAAGCTGCAAGGACGGACTGACACCCTCCCGTGTCTATTCTTTCACGCCTTAGACAAGGACGTTAGTCGAGTCATCAGCTCCTGCAGCGTAGATCAGCGGTGAAATCATTCACCAAAAGGAAGACGGTCACCTTTGAACTGAGGTTGAGCCAATCAACAACAACCATGAAGATAACGATGATGACCGTAGACAACAGGCATGATGTTGGGCCGAACGCCCAGGCCACAGCAGGAAAGGACACGAGCATCTGTCTATTTGCCCACCACGAACACGCAGCCGCTCTACAGACAGCAAAAAAGTGAGCGAACGACATGGCTACGTCTAATCACACCTGTCGTACAGTTTGGCGACCATCTTCACCACTTCCTCCTGATTACAGAGACTTGAGTACTGATTACAACCAGGCAAGGCAAGCACCTTGTTTGCCTCACAGCTCGAGCAGCCGACTAGCAGAGACATGTGGCGGAGAAGTCGAAGATATTGTGTGGAGCACAGGAATACTCCACCAAAGAGGATGAGGACGAGAGAAATCTTGACGGATGAAGGAACTACGGAAGATTTTCCTGCAGGAACGAGAAAGTCCAAAGTGCTCAGCATCTGAGCAAACCCATGAGAGTCTGAAGGTTGACCGAACATCTATATCTCACCTCAAGACGTTTGGAGAGGTCAACGGAGGAGGCAGCGGCGATGATCACCGTCACAGCGACAAACGCGCTCTTTGCGATGAAGATACCGATGAATATCTCATTCCTGATTGATTGCACTCCAAGAATGGCGTGCTTGTTGTCCGATAAGATCTTTTCAACCCATATAGTCCTGAACACTCTACCGAAACCAAACACTGTGTGCTCTGGCTTCTTAACGATGTAGCGGTGGTGGATCGCGTGGTAGGTGAAGATCAAAACGAAGGAGGTGAGCAGGAGGAGGGGCTCGACGACGAAGTCATACTGGGGTGGGGCTGGCGTTTCATCGAAAAGAATGTCAGCCATGAGAGGTGCGAGGGCCTTGGGGTCTGTTGAGCTCTTCTCAGAGCAGCTGATTCAAGTAGGAAAGACAGTCCTGCAGACAAACAGTGAATCATACACGATACGCTGTACACCTTTGCATGCTCTTTTCATCACTGAGATCTTATCCCTTAACTTCAGGATGTTCTCCTCCCTCCATCCCCCTTTCCCCCTTTCCCCTCATTCCTCTCGCTCCTATGCTTACAGGCAACTTGGCCCTTGTTCAGCAGCTCCCTCTCCCTCTCCCTCTCCGTCTCCGTCTCCGTCTCCGTCTCCCTCTTCCTTGCTCATCTCCTACACTCTCTTCCTCACTGAATCTTCTGCTCCTTCCCTCCCCGTCCCCTCCTGATCTACCTCGCTCTCCCTTCCATTCTTCCTCTCGTCCTCCCTCTCTCCCTCTCTCCCTCCTCTTCCCATCTTGCGGCTCCGCACCATTCCCCAACACCCCCAAAATTTTACTCAACCAGGGAAGTACGGCGAACTTTTCCAATAAATGAGTTTCCCAGGACAGGAATCCGCCCCGACCCGGCGGACGCCTTTCACACTATCATCTCCTCAGTCACCGTATGCTGCTCAGAAGGGGCCTGGAGGCCGGAGCCCTTCCTCCCTCCTCCCTCCTCCTGCTGCAGCCTCGAGTAGTGCTCGAACCTCCTCTTCTCCGTCTCAGCATGAAACACCTCGTAGTCGCCTGCATCCCGGGGCTCCGTCTCCTGCACGTATACATCGTAGCGCTGCTGCCCTGGCTCTCCCTGCTTGCCATAGCCCTGCTGCTCAAGCTGAAGCTGCTGAAGCCGCAGTTGCTGCTGCTGCTGCTGCTGCTCAAGCTGAATCTGCTGCTGTAGTTGTTGCTGTTGCTGCTGCAGTTGTTCCTGTTGGTGTTGCTGCTGCTGCTGCTGCTGCAGTTGTTCCTGTTGCTGTTGTTGCTGCTGCTGGTGCTGGTGCTGCTGGAAGACTCGCTCAGCTTGCAGAGTGGCTCGTGCTGGACTGCTGGGTGTAGTATCGGTCTGCAGCAGATGGAAGGGGCGGAAGGAGGAGGTAGGCGGCGACATGTCCTGCTTACTCGTCTGCTGAGAGCGATTGCCAGCAACACGTTCGACCCTCAGCCTGCAGAGAAATCGTGAGCAGAAGGCGCAAGCGAGGAAGGAGCGCAGACTTCTCCAGCTCAACCCTCTGCTCGAACAGTTTGGCATCCTGCAAAGTCGTCAGCCCCGCCATGGCGATCATGGTCGTCGGCACCTTCAGCAGCATTGACCTATTCAACTCTCCGATGTCCCGCAGAAGCCTGTCCTTGTCCTGCCGCACGTTCACTCTCAGGACCGCACGAGCTGCGAGGACTTGCCATGGAGGCAGCGACGAGCTCCTGCTCCAGCTTCTCACACTTGCTCTGCCAGCCGGCAAGCTCCTGCTTCATCTTGTCTATGGTGAACTGAAGGCCCTGGTTCTCGGAAAGCAGCCGCTGCACGCTGGGACGGAATGGTCAGGAGCAACGACAATGAACCGACATGGCGAGGAGGACCTGCTGTTGTCATCTGTCCCTCGAGGAGGTTGGAGCGCGACGGATCCTGGCATGGCCCGCTGCTCGTGTTTGCGTGAATGCTTGAGGGAGGGAGAGGTAGACGGGGGAGGCGGGAGGAGGAGAGCGAGGGAAGGAGAGAGAGAGGATGGAAGGAGGAGAGCGAGGGAGGGAAACTAACGTTGTCTCGCACTTGTGGCGACGTGATCATCGACTCACTCTGCAGCTGCTCACAGGGAACACCAAGACAACAGTCACAACCGAGCAACTAACAGTCTCCCTGAACCTGCGGGATGGGACGAGACTCCCCCCTCTCGCGCCTTCTCTTCGCTTCCTCCTCCTCCTGTGCTCCCATCAATCTCCTCTTCCTACTTCCCATCCGAACAATCAGAGTTGGAGTTCTACCTGTCCTGGCACCGTCACCCCTAGCTCACCTCCATGCTCCTCGCTCAGTCTGCCCCTCGGCACACGGAGCTTCGTCAGCTCCCCGCTCAGATACTCTGTCCTCATCTTGAGCAAGACGTTCTCAGCCGCCAGCTCGTCTTTCTGCGGAACCATCATGTCTCTTCTCAACACTTCCCTTGACCTGCCTGCAGCCGGAGCACGTTGAGCAACTTCAGCTCCACCTGGTACGCTCGCACTCGGCTCTCAAGCCTTGCTACGTCCTCCAGCAGCGCTGCTCTGCTTGCTTGCTTCCTGCTGTCCTCGATCGGGCAGAAAAACTCACTCCCTTCGCTGTCAGATGACTCGCCGTCGTCATGCGGGACGTGCGGGACATTCTCGATCGCTCTCTTCTCCAGGTGGTCCGACGTCACCTCGTCATGCCGACTGGTCCCCAGCAGACTCCACACCTGCCAACCTCGTTTGACAACCAGCGACGGTTTCTCCTTTGACAAGCACCTGTTCAGAGAGTCTCTTGTTCTCCCCGATGAGCTCCTCGATCACCTTCTTCATCTGCTCCACCTCAGCTGCAGTCACCCTCGACCTGCGCTACCTCCACATTCTCCAGCATCAGATGCGATAGCTGGGCACCAGCTGGAGCCGCAGGCTGCGAGGCCTGGCTGACGAAGTGCCGCACGACCTTCTGGAGGGCCGTCCTCCACTCGCCCTCCCCGACGCTCGTGATCGCGCTCCTCCTGTCCGCCCGCACAAGCGACCGGCCATGGAGGCTCCTCATGTGGACCGCCATGTGCCGCACCGCCTCGTCCATGGATTTCATCCCCACATCGTTGAACTCCTCAACCTCCTCTGGCAAGAAGCCGCCGCTCGTCATCCTGCCATCGCTCAGCACTCCCTCAGCTGGGAACTTCACCTGCAGGCAGCTCAAAGTCAGCGACTCCGCACGTGCCGGCAGGCAGAGGACGAACGATGGACTCCAGCTGGTTCCCTGCAGGGCAGGTCAGTGCCTACCTCCTCCCCAGCTCCACCCACTGAGCTGGACTCTCAGCCACTCATTCTCAGCTCGTGAGCTCTCGATGTGCCAGCGCGACTCCAGCAGGCGTCAGAGGGCAGCAGAGCGGGGCATGAACAACCTCCTCAAGCTTCATCTTCGCCTCCTCCAGCATGCTCGTCAGCCTCTGCACACTCGTCAGTCGTTCCTGCTGGGCGCGAGCTGGCAAGACCTGAATCTCGGAGCTCTCGAGGTTTTCCAGGGTCGAGACCTGCTGAAGGCTGAGAGAAGGTGGCGGATGGGGCTGCTTCCCCACCTGCTCCGTCAGCTCGTTCACGGTCGACAGCAGCTGCATCTGGTCGTGGAAATGGTTGCCTGCTGATAATCTCAAGGGCAGCGGGGGGAGCAGAAGAAGAAGACCTGAGTCTGACATGTCCGCCGCGGAGACTTCTTCGAGTGACCTAGGGACGAGGTTTGAGGAGAGAGGAGGAACAAGGGAGAGCTGGGAGGGGAAGAGGAGAGGAGGAGCAGGGAATGAGAGGAGGGAGAGGAGGGAGAGGAGAGAGAGTGAGAAGGGAGAAGAGGAGGAGCACGAGGTGGAGAGGAAGAAGGGAGTGGAGAGATGGGACGGGGAAATCTGACCTCGCTAGACGGTGAGAGAGAGCCCGTTCAGACCGCAGCATCTCCTCAGCAATCTCATGCTTCACCAGCATCTCCTCCAACTGTCAGGAGTTTGAGCTGTGAGATCTTCACGGAGGGCACGGAAAACACCTCCGAGTTGCTCCCACGAGCATTGACTCTGTTGTTTCCCTGAGATTGACTCTTTGGATCCTGCGTGGAAATGAGCAGAGCAGAGCAGAGCAGAGCAGAGCAGAGCAGAGCAGAGCAGAGCAGAGCAGAGCAGAGCAGAGCAGAGCAGAGCAGAGAAGCATTTTCAGCCTCGACCTCGGACATCAACTCCTTGTTGACGATGTCCTTGAAATCCGCCTGCGCCCACCCCCAGTGAGACTTGGGCTGGTCGACCTTGACTCACCTCTTGCTTCACCGCCATCTTCTCCTCCTGCAGCCTCGCAGACTCCTAAGACAGTCTCAGAGGAAGCGCCGCGCCGCTCGGCCTCACGCACCTTGAGCAGCCTCTCCTGCTGTGCTTGCAAGAGCTCCTGCACCAGGAAGGCTCAGCAACCATCCTCCAAACTTCAGCTGCGGGCATTACAAACTGCTCCTTCTGATGCTGCTCCACGATGCTCTGCTGCTGCTCCACCGCTCGGATCCTCTCCCATGCCTGCTCCTAGAGCCAAGACTTCACCTTCCCCGACATCGTCTGGTGTAGTTCACGCCACCTGAGAAAGCGATATCGGGGCTGATGGAACTCCTCCCTCTCCCATCTTCCACAAGATCAAGTCAACTGCAGCCGACAACTCGACACGAGCACTCACAGCCCAGGGAAATGCTGCTGAAGACCTGCTGGGGACATCAGGGAGAGCCCTTCTCTCCTCCCATCACTCGCCTGTCTTGAGCTCCCTGCTGCTGCTGCTGCAAGCCGCGAGCTTTTCTGCAATGTCTATCAGTTCATGCGGCTCTCCGAGAGCTGAACCCCAGCTGCGATTGGAGCTGCTCGATATCGGACACCAGCTGCCGGTTCTCCTCCTGCAGCATGGCCTGTACGGTGCAGAGTTTCACTCAACCTGCCCGTCCTCTCCTCATTCTCACCTTGCTTGTCAGGATCTCTTCCTGCTGCTGAAGGGCCAGGTCGAGGGCCTCGTACACGTCATCATTCGCGTCTCCCTGCCCATTCCAGTTGAGCTGCGAGGGTGGAGCCCTACGAAACTTGACCTTGTCCAGCTGCTTCTCGCCTGCCTCCCATGGTATCTCCTGCAACACGTGTCAGTCCTTCTGACCTGCGAGCTCTGCCGCTAGCTTCAGTCCTGCCCAGCATTCACCTAGCGCCTAGTCAGGGGGGAGGGAGTGGAGGGACGAGAGCGACCTGGGCAGGATCGACGTTCCCTTCGATGCCGGCAGCTGCACATCTCCTCTGATCTCAACAGGTCAGAGGGTTGAAAGGCTTCATCCGGACCTTGGCTTCACCTGCAGATCCTCGTTCTCTCTCTGGGGTGCAACAGGTTCAGTCCCGTGAAGCAACCAGGGCTAGCGCTTGCCTGGAGTAGCCGGCAGACCCCCCGCTGCTCCTCCAGCTCTTGCTCCAGCTGCTTGTTCCTCTCCTGCCAGGATTGTCTCATAGCCGAAGGAGACTGAAAGGATCGCATGCCTTGAGGACTACGTTTTCCTCTTGGAGCAACTGAACGTCCCCCTGCGCGCAGGGTCGGTCAGGAGCAGCAAGGGGAGCAAGTTTCAAACAACCTCTGCGGAAAGATGTTGTGAGGTTCCTCCTCCCTGATACAGTCTTGTCCGGTATGACTTGAGCTTCTCCTTGTACCTGTCTGCTCTTCAAGGGCTGCAGCCCTCCCCCCTCCTCGTCCCACCTGTGAAGCTTCTGCCGCAGCATCGTCCTCTCCTCCTCCATCTTCAGCAGCGTCTCCTGAAGCTGGTCCGCACCTCCACCCGATGAGCCTGCAGCCCTAGCATCCTTGCTCTGGAGCAGAGACTGAAGGAGGGCCAGCTTCTCAGCCAGAGCTCTGTTCGTGCTCGCCAGCATCACGTTCGCTGATTGAGTCCTCCGTAACCGCTCGTCCACAGGTGCGTCCGAGTCCATGTCCTGCCAAGTGGCGGTGAGGAGGGCAGCTCAGCTGTGAGAGGGGACAGTCAGACAAGCGCATCTGGTTGCTCAGAGTAGGTGGAAGACTGCGAGGTGACCCTCGAGATCCGTGCTGGATGCAAGTCAAGCAGAGGAAGATATTCACGATGATACCAGAAGGAGCCATCTGCTGACTGGAGCTGCTCCCGGTCCTTCTCCAGGACGGCTCCTGAGAGTGGATGTCGTGAGGAGGTAAATCCTGCTCATGCACACTGCCGGTGATCGTCAGTCAAGCCCTCAAGTGCATGAAAGTTTCAATACGCGTGCACGCTGTGGATACGGTCGAGCAGCAAAGGGCCGTCTCGGGGAGGACAGTAGAAGAGACAGCTGCCAACACAGGGTCAGAGCATCGCTGCAGTGAGGAAGAGAGTGGGCAAAGGTGAAAGAAGCAAGGCGTGCTCTCAGGTCATGGTGCGCTTACAGTCTCCCGAAAGGACATTTTCCGGTCTTCTGCCACACTTTGCATATTCTGATTTCATTCCCTACTGTTGGCGGCATGAAACTTTCTCTGTCGTCTGCGGACCAGCCTCTGTCATCCTGAAGATCCCCGAAACTCCCAACAGACAACAATGCAGCGGATTGTCTGAAACCACTGCCAGCACTTTCATTGCTGCCCGTCCTTTCCAGGCTGGACAATCTCTCAAGATGGTTAGAGAGGTGACTCGTGTGAGGGGTCCTCGTGCTGTCGGTGCTTGATGTTCTCTCGGCCTTGCCCAGACTCCCTCCTCCTCTCCTGCTCGATCCGCGCGAGCTTCTGTGTACCCTCTCCATCGCCGTTGCCATCATAGGCGACAGGAAAGTTTTTGACTAGATGGTGGGTACCACGAATGTCGGAAGACCCTGTGCTATAGATATTTATATAACACGTTGAATTTGTATAGTCACCATGAATATTTTTGCAATAAAACTGATCGATAGTCAATAAAATATATTAGAGCACAATAGATCCCCTCCTGCGCGGGAGAGGCGAAGATGGCGTCGGGGCTTCCAGCGAACTTTTTCGATGCAGCAGGAGCAAGCTCCGCCTCTCTGTCAGGACGAGAGCATGCTGTCGAAGGATTCTTTGATAAGCAGGAGGACGAGCAAGTCGGAGGAAAGAGGAAGCGAGAGGAGGAGGAGGAGGAGGATGAAATGGGAGCTGATGGGATGGAGGAGGCTGGGGAGGAGGAGGACGATGAGACGAAGATGAACAAGATGCTTGATCAAGCTGAAGGGGTTGAGATTATGGACATTCATCAGGTGAGCCATTCTTTGAAATTCCGTTTATATCTCCTCGTCTCCTGTTGAGAGTCAAAATGCAGTTAAAGCGAGCGGTGCTATCACTGGAAAGGAAGATTGCGAAGAATCAGGAGATGAGAGTGAAACATGCAGATGAACCAACAAGATTCCTAGACAGTGAGGTGAAATTCTCTCGTTTCCTACGATTTCACCTCTTCACCCTCCCTCTGTCTTGATCTCCTTCCCTCACTTCGCATCTCCTTGGTCATCCTTGTGATTGACCCGTTCTCGTTCAGGTGGAACTCTACGAGGACATCAACAAGCTTCAAGCACTCGCAACGGCACCAGAGCTTTATGGAGAGTTCGTGAAGCTGAACGCCGTGCAGAAGGTGGATGAAGCCCTCTCTACCTTTGATCGTCTTACTCTCGAGCTTCAGCTCTCCGAACTTCTGGATCACGAGAACGTTGACATAACTTTGGCCACAATTGAGCTGATGAACGAGCTCACGGACCCTGATGCTCTGGGAGAGATGGAATCTGAAGATTGCTTGAAGGTGCAGATGTTTCTCTTCCCATTGAACTATCCTGATAGCAGTTGCAGGACCTGGTCAACTCCTTGGTTGAAAACGCGTTCCTAGAGTTGCTGGCGAAGAACTTAGGTACGAGTATCAATCCAATGCACAGCAATATTACTTTCCTCTGACCGGATACTTGCAGCAAGAATCGACGAGGGCGAGGACGATGGAAGACAAGGGATATATAACGCACTCTCCATCATCGAGAACTTGAGCGAGCTTCAGCCGCATGCCCTGGAGGCGATCTGTGACAAGACAGAATTGGTTGAGTTGGTCTGCGGGTATTCCCAATCCTGAACGGACCTTGCAGGTTCCATGGTTGTTCAAAAGATTGCGCGTCAAGACCTTCGATCAGAACAAGCTGTACTGCAGCGAGATCATCTCGATATTGTGAGATTGCCTGAAGAGCTCCTCCATTACTTACACCCTGTCGCTCTCAGATGCCAGCAGAATCAAGAAAACCAGAAGAAGATCGGCTCGGACGGTGGGATGGACAACCTGCTCCAGTTGACTTCTTCGTGGAAGAAGAAGGATCCTAAGGACAGCGATGAATCTGAAATGATCCAGAATCTCTTCGACTCCATCTGCTCTTGCGTCATGGTGCCAGAGAACCTGGCTGCATTTGTCGAGGGGGAGGGAATCGAACTGATGGTTATCATGCTTCAAGCTCGAAAGTTTGCTGCTCGCTGTGCATTGAAGGTGAGCGTCGTCCTTGGTTCACGTCTCCCTCAGAGTGGAAAAGGTGCTGGATTATTCTCTTTCAAGAAGCAATGCCGCCTGCGAAAGATTTGTGAATGCTGCCGGCCTCAAAACACTCTTCCCAGGGTTTCTCAAGCCTCAAAGCATTCTGGTAATCTCGGATGATGATCATCGCGCGCAGTGACAGAATTCACAACAGGCGAATTGCAACTTCAAGGAGGCGAAGGGAGGTGCGAGAGAAGACGAGGAGCATGTAGTATCCATCATCTCATCGCTGATTCTCCGACTCGGCGGAGACCTTCACTCGAGGGTCCTGCAAAAGTTTGTGGAGAATGGATTCGAGAAGGTGGTTAGCGTGCCTGTTCTTCGCGTCTTGACGAGCTACACAGCTTGACAAGTTGATCGAGCTCCACGAGAAATATTATACCTTGGTGGAATCTGCTGCTGATGTACGCACGCGCCTCCGATCGCTGGGGACGTGGTTGGCTGATTCTCGTTCAGGAGGAAGAAAAGGACGAAGACGAGGAGGACGGCTATGAAAACATGACTGCGGAGGAGAGGCGATACCTTGCGCGCTTAGACAAGGGCCTTTTCATTCTTCAACTGGTCAGATTCGTCGGATCTGGAGGAGGATGGGGAGGTTTGATCTTTCCAGCAGGTGGACACTATCTTAGCTTTCTTGCTCACCGAAGATCTTCCCGGCATCGAGAAGCGAATCCGCATGCTGCTCCACCAGAGCGACGCTGGGATCGAACAGGTACGCTAGCCCACGGCAGGTCGAGGACGTGATGGCAGCACGCAGGTGATCAAGGTGATGAAGGAGTACCACGACAACATCGGCGATGAATCGACAGGAGGAGAGGATGCTTTGAACATGAAGGAGATCACCGGGGACTTGCTGGATTTCCTCAAGGAGAAGCAGCCGTAGTGGAGTCAAGACATCGCATTCATTACATCTACAAGTTTCCTAAGACACACCTCGTGTCGCACAGCAGCACACAGTCTGATGTGTCGAAAAAATCTTCACATGTTGAACTGATTGTTGACCGTCTTGTACTCGAAGCACAGTGCAGCTGGTCGACCCCCCTTATCGGAAACGATCCGTGTCGCTGCGATTCGGTTACTCCCACCATTCCTATGTTCACATCCATATGTTCACATCCATATGTTCACATCCATATGTTCACATCCATATGTTCACATCCATATGTTCACATCCCTATGTTCACATCCATATGTTCACATCCATATGTTCACATCCCTATGTTCACATCCCTATGTTCACATCCATATGTTCACATCCCTATGTTCACATCCATATGTTCACATCCCTATGTTCACATCCATATGTTCACATCCATATGTTCACATCCATATGTTCACATCCATATGTTCACATCCATATGTTCACATCCATATGTTCACATCCATTTGTTCTCCTCTTCATGTCTTTTGTGATTGCCCAAACGCGCTGTCCTCCCTCCCCGCATCTTCCTCGTAAATCTTTCTCCTTCCCTCTCCCTCCCCCTTCCCCTCCCCTTCTTGCCGGTTTTTCCGACTTCGTGGAGGGGTGGGGTACATAAATGGAAGCCTGGAGGTGTTTTTGAAGGGCAGAAACAGGGTGGTTTAGGTGGTACAGGGGGTAGGGGTCCTCAGCAAACCAAGGGCGGAAAGGGGGGGGAGGAAATGACTTTTGGACGGCAATACTGTAGTGACAGTAGGAGGATTGGGGGGGTAACCGTTTACTAGGGGTGGTAGGATGGTTGTTCAGAAGGGGAAAGTAGGGGTACTTGAGAAGCTAAACCTTGATAGGAGGGGTACTAAAACGATCCTCAAGGAACCGATGAAGTTTTCGGTTCGGATCGGAGTAGGAAATTGAGTAGGTGGGGGTGGTTCAGCGGTAGTAACCAATTCGTGGAGACCAGGTAGGGGTCATGGTAGGAATTGGAGGGGTGGTACAATTCGTGGAGACCAGGTAGGGGTCATGGTACCAATTGGGGGGGTGGTACAACTCTTGCCGCGCACTGCAAGAGGCAGGTGGTAGTGGACTGAGTCATACCGAGAGGGTAGGGGGTCATTTCATGGAGGCGCTTGGGAGGGGTGGTGGGGGTGGGGGTGAAGGGTGGCGGTGACTGTAGGGGGTGGGTGTAGGGTAGTGGATCTGGAGCCGCAGAACATGATGCAGCAATCATCGTCAGCAGCCGCAGCAGAGGTGAGGGGGGAAGAGGAGGAGGGAGGGGGCGGGAGAGGGGGGGGAGGGAGGGAAGGAAGGGGAAGTGGAGGAAGGAGGGGGCGGGAGAGGGGGGAGAGGGAGGGAAGGAAGGGGAGGAGGAGGAGCAAAGAGGAGCAGTAGAGAAGGTGCGGGAGAAAAGAGAAGCATGGAGAGGGGGTGAGAAAGTTTCAAGAGCAGATGAAAGGTTTGAATGTGATGAAGGACGGAAAGAGAAGGAGGAGGAGATGAAAGTTTCTAGGCAATATGAAGGGGATATCAGAGAGGTATCAACAATGAGATTCAGAACTTCGTTTGCGAACAATTTGATAGAGTTAGAAATCTCAACACGATGAGGATGGAGAGAGTGTGACGACGCCAACCACAGCGAGATAGTTAAAGACACATTTCTAAGAGATGCAGGACATGTGAATTAAAACATGGTTGCAGGATGAATGGATGAGAACAATGTTCAGACCTTCTACAATGTACTCCGGGCCGGGGAGCCGGTGCAGGTGCAGGACTTTGCCCTCTACGGGTCCAACGCGAGCGGCTCTCACGTTTCAGATGCCGCGAGCATGCTGTCGATGATCGATGACTACTCCTTCGATCAGAGAGAGATCCCCCAGGTCCTCATCAACCCTCAGATGCTTCCCGCCTACGACGCCCGGCCCGTCCGCTACGAGTATCCGGCCGAGACCCTCCATCCTCAAGTGACGTACGGGGCTCTTCCTGCAGGAATGACGTTTGCACCTTCCTATGCCGTCGAGCGTCAACCCTACTTCTCGCAGCCGATGATGGCGCAGCCCGTCGTCACCTCCCAGTACCTCCCTGCCCACCACATGCTGCATTCCCAGCCCATGATTCCCCAGCAGCAGGTCCTTCACTCCCGGGCATTGCAAGGACAGCAGCTGCTTCATCCTCAAACCCTTCACTCCCACCATCTCGTTCAGCCCCACCAGATGCTCCAACCCAAGAACGTGCACCAGCCTCAACCCATGATCTCAGCGCAGTATGTGCCTCAGCCCCAGCACATGGTCCAGCCCAGGCAGCTCGACCGCGACCCCCGTCATCCCGTCCCTCGAGAGCAGTTCAAGTCGGATCCCAGGCCTTATCCCCGTGAAGTTGAACAGCCTCTTGCAAGCACCACCCAGCAGCCTCCTCAACCTCCTGTCCTCGCCACGATCGGCATTTCCCTCTGGCAGCGCGGCAAGTACTTCGTGGTATCTGGAGTGACCCAGGGGTCCAGCGCTTACAACCTTGGCCTTCGGGTAGTCGACGCTCTTGTTGTCAGCGCATGATCTGATCGCTATGCCAGGTTGGGGATGTGATCAGGAAGGTGAATCGGGTGCCAGTCAAGGGATGGACCCTAGAACAAGTCCAAGCTGTGCTCACGGTCGTTGCTCTTCATTCATTGCTCCTGCTCTGTTTGTGAGACTTTGAGAGCAGGGCAAGGGAGGGAGCAGCGTGCTTATCAGGACCACTGACCTCAAGGTCAAGGTCAGGCGTGACTGCGCTTACGTGCCCGAGCATCGCAAGCAGGTTTCAGGGCAGTACAACGGTGAACTTGCAGATGTCTTGCCCAACTCTCGCTGACAGGCATCAGGTCACATGCATGCGAGGAACGCTCCGCATCAGCCCCATCCTCACCGACACGCGGCTCACCACATGCAGCACGTGCCCGACCATGGTAGCCAGGTGAACCAGAGGATGCAGCCTCCAGGGTACCAGCCCACCCCGTGGACAGAGGCAGACGAGCAGCGACGCAATCAGGCATACGACGATTGGATCCATCGGCCTCGCATGGTCGGCAATGGTTACCCCGTGGACAGCATGAACCCGCAGGGTGGTGGAGAAGATGTTGTTAGGTTGTAACTCGTCATGACAACAAAGGGAAAGGAGACGAATCTTGTTCGCGTACACTGAGTTTGTGAAACCTCCGACAACTCCTGCTCTACTGCTAGTTGCACCCATCAGCATCTCCATCATATGTGAATGTAGCCCAGGATCTTCATGAGAAGAATCAAGGACATCATTCCCAGCGCCACTGCGAGGATTATAATGCAGCACCTGCGCCAGCGTTCACATACAGCCGTCCACTCCCTCCCTCCATGCTCACATGGCTGGGTTTCGACGTTGAGACTTCTCTGCCTTGACAAGCTCATCAGATGCCTGGGGAAAGGGAACATCAGGCGGGCGGGGGGAGCAAGGGCTGAAGCTGTGTACCTTAGCCGTGTGTTCAGAAGCTTTCTCGATGTTGTAGTCTATGCGATCAATGATGCTGCCCTGAGCAAGACACATTCAGAAGAGAGCCTGAGTTGAGAGCTTCTCCGCACCTGGTCGATGATCAGAACGGCCAATTCCTTGAAGATAGTCTGAAGCTCCTTGATGGAATCAGCTACTTTTTCAATCTCCTTCTCCCTTAATTGCACAGACTCTTCCACATCCTCCAACTCTTGCAGTTGTGCTTGTGTGAAACCAGAATCTTCGAAGTCGAAATTTTCATTCTTCACGGCGGGTTTGTACCTTTGACACAGCAAATGTCAGACATCCAACGTTGCGCACTGCACGGCCTACTGTGATTTAGCCTCGTTCTCCTTGAGCTTTTCTAAATATCTGCACAGCACAGAGGGAACGTGAAAATGACATCGACAGAGTGTCTCCGCCTACCTCTTCTGATCTCTTCTGAAAGTCACTGAGAGCTCATGCAGAGTCGTTGCCAACGAAGACTACCGGCCTCTTAGTCAACCACCTGGATGGGCACGGGAAACAGACCTGAACGTTTTTTCGCATTGAGAGGTCATGAGCATCCTTCTTGTCTAGCCCGATCGCCACGTCCTACTGGTGCATCAGCCGCCCGCCCTCTGACAGAAGGAAAGACAGACCTGAATGTTCCTCTCACACTTGCGGAACAAGTCTGAGATCTCATCCGCCAGGCACGAGATCTCCTCTCTCCTCCTCCTCTCGCTGTCCTCGTCGAAACCTGGCGCAGCGGCTCAGCTTGGAACGAGCAGAGCACACGTGATTCACCGATGCGCTTCGACTTCCCCATCATCTTCGATCTGGCATCACAGCTGCTCAGCACTCAAGACAAAGAGGCATCAAGGAGCTTACAGCTCCTCCTTCTTGGTGCGGATGATCTCGAACAACGCCATGGTCCCTTCCACCTGTTCCCCCCAACATCATCCATGGCTTCTCTTCCCAGATAACCTCCTCACCATCCGGACCCACGAAGGAGCTTCATTCATCACGCCCATCTCAATGTCCCCGTTGCCATCCAGCAGTTTCTGCTTGTCTATCTTCTTGGCATGCTTGCTCTGTCAGGACGAGTCAACCATCAACAACTCCCATGCTTCCCTCACATTCTCTCTGTATGACTCCCCAAGGTCTGGACGAGACGCCAGACCACGGAAACTTTCCCTGCCGACGTCGTCGTCAGCATTTTCTCTGCAAGTACATGCGGGTTTTCACCGGTATCGGATGAAGAGGGAAGTGCGATCGCGACAGGCCATCTGATGCTCTTCTTCCCTCCTCTGTTGTCGCAATGCTTTCTTCTACTCCTCCATGAAGCTAGCTCCCATCTTGGGTCAAGCAGACACACCAAGACGTCTCGGACTCAGTTTATCCCCGTCCCCCCTCGCCAAATCCAATCGATTTCCTAACCCTCAGCACCCTGTGCTCCACATGACTGGTCGCTCCTCCCCCACTGCAGTCACCGACTCTTCTCTTCACTTCATGTGTTGCTCTCCTCTCCTCTTCCTTGCCCTCCCCTCCCCTCCTCCTCCTCCTCCTCTCCTCCCTCTCGGTTGATCTTCCAGCGCCCACTCCATGCGCTGGCATATCCGTTACAATCATAACTGTAATGAAAGACCACCCCTACAATCAACCTGCTGTACCCCCACCCTGGGAAGTATTTCAGAACATGCCCTACACTGCTGGAATCTCAATGAAGGCTAGAGAGGGGAAGAAATGAAGAGCGGGGAGAGGAGAGGAGAGGAGAGGACAGGGCAAGACAGGGCATGACAGGGCATGACAGGGCAAGACAGGACAGGAGAGTCTGAAACTGGTGTCTGGAAGGATAGTGGAAGGAGAAAACTAGGATGAATACTGAGGGTGGAAGAAGAACGACACTAGAAACATGAAGGAAGAAAATAAGGTGAATCAAACTCATTTGTCTCAGTCAGATGTGGCGTCGGATCCGCGGAGCAGACTCTCTGCCATGAATGCTTCCACCATGGCACAATTCTGATCCTCCAATTATACACGCGTCCACGAATCCCTGGGCACAATGTCCAAAGAATTCCCAGAGCTGCGACGAGGAGAGTCGGAGCAGCTGATCGACCAGGCCATCGCAGATGTACTTCCTTCAGAGGATCCGTTCGAGAGCCCCAACTTTGACGTCATCGCCATGCTCAACAAGCACTTTCCCAACGAGCTATCGCTGACTTCCATTGAAACGACCTGCGATCGACTTGCCGTTAAGATGAACGAGGTCTGTCGTCGCGCACCCTCCCTCGCACTCACTCTGCCGCAGCTTGACATCTCCATCCTCCATGCGGTGGAGCTGCAGAGCAGTGAGGGCGAGGCGGCCAAGCAGGACCTGGAGCGAGCGAACCGATCAGTCTCAGAGCTGATGGCGAACCTCAAGAGTATCAAGGAGAGGGGGGAGGCGACCAAGAGCATGGTCCACGAGATCTGCCGAGACATCCAGGTGAGCTGGGAAGCTGCTGGTCTAGAGCTGACTGGACCGTAGACGTTGGACTTTGCCAAGCAGAACCTGACGACGACCATCATCGCGCTGCGGAGGCTGAACATGCTGGAGAACGCGATCGAGCAGCTGTCGGAAATGACGGCAGCTCGAGCTTACAAGGAGGCAGCGAACCTCCTGGAGGCCATGACGCAGCTGGCCGCCAACTTCGACGCATTCAAGAACGTCCCCAAGGTTTGCGAGCTCCTCGCCTCCGTACGAGCCCTGCGGTCGCAGCTGCAAGCTCAAGTGCTCGAGGAGTTCAAGCTGCACATCAACGTCACGATGCCGGAGGACGTGTCGTGCATGCTCAAGGACGCGGCCCAGGTGGTGTGCGTACTGGGGCAGGGGCTGATCCTCAAGCTCGTCAAGTGGTTCTCCGATAAGGAGCTCGGGGAGTACGAGAATCTGTTCGACCCCTCCAAACATCCCGCGGGGCTCGAGAGCGTCGAGAAGAGATTCGCATGGCTGCGTCGCTGGCTCCGCTCCTTCTCCTTCTCGTACGGGGAGGTGATGCCGAGCAGCTGGGAGGTTCCTCGGGTGGTGTCGGAGGAGTTCTGCCATAGGACGAGGAATCATCTGGCGCAGCTGCTGCAGAAGAAGAGCAAGGAGATGGACGTGCGGCTGCTGATGCACGTCATCCAGAAGACGATCGAGTTCGAGCAGGAGCTCTCGGGGCGGTTCTTCGTTGCTGGAGTCGAGGCGGAGGCGGAGGGGAAGGCAGGGGAGGGCGAGGGGGCGTCGAACGAGGGCCGCATGAAGTTTGCCGTGAACTGTGGGAGTGAGAACAGGAGGAGTGCGTTCGATCGAATCATCAGCCGAGTGTTCAAGCCCTACATGTCGCTGTTTCTTAAGCTCGAGCGCGCGCACATGGCTGACCTTGTCAAGTCGCTCCTGTCCAAGGAGGACTGGGGAGCAGGTATGGGACGTGAGGAAAGGGTAGAAGGGACGAGGGTGAAGGAGACAGCAGAGGGAGGGAGGGGGAGAGAGAGGGAGGAAGAGTAGCAGGGTGGATGAGGAGAGGAAGGAGATCGGTGCAGGGAAGAAGCTGGGAGTTGAACGCTGCTGCTGCCGCTCCTGGTGCTGCTGGTGGTTGTGGCAGGAGCGAGGGAGAGGAAGGGTTGGGAGAGGGGAGATGTTGATATGTGGGGCCGGCTGTGAGATGCCGTGGTGGCGAAGAGACCTGACGGAACTGCAGGGCTTGACAACGAGACAGAGGAGGAGGAGGCGCCTGTGCTGTCCAGCACGGGAGAGCTCTTCCTGTACATCAAGAGATCCTTGAATCAATGCAGCGCTGTAGACACGGGGGAGACTCTGCTGCACCTGTCACGTGCGTTCGAGGAGACGCTGATCCAGTATGCGCAAGGGCTTCATAAGCACATCGCCGAGAAAGCAAGGTGAGGACGATAAGGAAGGGGGAGGGTAGTGGAGGAGGAAGAGGAGGGAAAGAAAGAAAAGGAAGAAGAGGAGCAGGAGCAGGAGCAGGAGCAGGAGCAGGAGCAGGAGCAGGAGCAGGAGCAGGAGCAGGAGCAGGAGCAGGAGCAGGAGGTCACCAGTGCCCCTTTCGTCACGTTGTAACATGGAAGAAGGAGCAAGAAGAATCTTCCGGCACAGGACGAGCGGGTGATGGCGATAGTTATCAACACGTTGGAATATTCGTCAGATATCATGGAGCAGCTTCAGACCACAATCTCCAAGGCCATCGACCCCTCCCTCGCGCAGCATGTCCTGCTCTTCCATCCTCCTCCTCTTGCACCCTCGCACTCCTCTTCCGTCCTGTTTTCTTGCCAACTCCTCTACCCTTTCCATTTCCTTTTCCTCTTCCCTACTCTTCCTCCTCATGTTTTCCCTCCATCTTTCTCCTTCGCTTCCTCCTCCTAACACTTTCCAGGTCTCTTTCGCCGGGCTGAGTGACAGTTTCGACAATGCCATCGCTGAGGCTCAGGTATAAGTTATCCCTCCCTCCCTCTCTCGTCGTCTCTCTCTC